AATATTTCATGACAGCAAAAATAGTGATTTCGACAACACTGTACATAATGTACGTTCATTTAGGAAATTCATGCAAAGGTTCCACAAATAATGTAATTGTAGGTCAATCAAAAATTAATCATTTAAATCCGTTTTCCACGAGACAAAATTCTACTGGCTACATATTTTTTTTATATACAAAAGTTGCTTTCTGATTTCTTTTTTTGACATGTTAAATGACTATTTTTGTTCCTGATTGAATACTATAGTAGAATGTAGGACAGTAAGTCACAGGACAAAAAGTCACAGACGAAAAGTCACAATTCAGTTTTGAGATTATTTTTCTCTGAACAAGAAAACACTAATTTTAAAAATATTTTTTTGATTTTTTATTGAACTATAATATATGAAGCAACTTTGTAATTAAAATTATACAATAAATATCAATGATGATCAAATAATTGTTATGATAACAAAATGTCAAAGTGGTTTGGCACTTAAATGGCTTCATGGTGCCAAGAAATATATTATTTGCATGATTAAAATTTAATAATTTTTCATTTATCAAGGCCTATGAACAATTTCCTGAACTTAAAAATGAATAAATGTAAAAAAAGTTATTTGAAGATCTTTCTCTTATATATTCAAACAATTGTCAGTAAATTATTTGTGACTTTTTGTCCTATCCAATTTGTGACTTTATGTCCTGTGACTTTTTGTACTGTGACTTTCTATCCGTTTACCCTATTCATAGTATAGCCCAGTGTTTCTGTTAAAATAAAGTTCTGGTCATGGTTAAAATAATGTCAGAATTTGTTTAGTTGTAAAAACAATTACCAAGTAATAATCCACTTAGAACTTCACCTCCGGCAAAATTCAGGTGATCGGAGGGCAATAAATTGCGTAATCGCACACCTGTGAATCCACAGTCACAACTCTAAGGAAATAATGACCGGAAAATCGGACACACATAATTTCACTGTGTAATTTAGAAGCAAACTTTAGCAAAGAAATGTTTCTTGTAATATCATGATCATTACCAGATTTTACTTTTTAAATTAAAAGAAATGCCGAAAAAAATATTTTCTCTATCAAATACATTAAAAAAAATACAACTATTTCAAGTAGTTTTTTAGAAAAAGAATTTATTTGATCTGAAATAAGTTTTCCTATTACTTTTCTTGATTAGCTATCGAGGTTATTCATCCCTGACTTGTCTACATGTTGTAGAATAATTATCGACGAGAATCTCATTCCGGGCCGCGTTTTTTAACGGGATTTCACGGAGTTGCCAATCTCTGTGTATATATGTCTCTAATATAAACTAGTATTTGTTAATTCTCAGATTTATTAACAGGAAAACTTCCCCGCCCATGTTTTGTTAACCGTATAATAAGACTGGTGTTGCTGAATGATGGAATATATTCATACTTAGGTAGATTAACCGTATATACCGCCATTTTGGATTGTAAAAAACGAAGTATCAAAATATTTTTTACTATAGGAGTTATCTCCCCTTTTATGGCTTAGTTTTAAAATTGAGTCAAACAAAAACTAATATTTGGTATTTGTTATCAATAATGCAATAAATCACTAATGTTTCTTTATGTCAATAAACAGTCTTAAACATTAATTGCCAATCTGTTTCAACAATGGCAGATTTAAGCAAGGAACTAGACCGGTTGTGGATAAAGGAATGTTAATGAAATTTAAAATTTTTACTTGTAGCAAGAAAACATGTTCGGTGACATCAGTTTTGATTTTGATTTTCTTAAAGCATATTTTAAAACTTATCTTCTCATATTTTATTTAAAAATTCTATAATAGATTTCTTTTTATTCACAAAAACGTGGTTTTTCATGCATAATTTATCTGGGAAATAGTATAATAGTCCCAGAATTTATGCAATACTGGGCAATTTTGCACGACTTGTAGCAAGCTGCTTGAAAAATAGAACGGTGACCCATACATCTTATTATATTTTTTGAAAAAAGCATGGTAAAATCTACATTTAATAAGAAAATTCTATCTGAGGAAATGTATACTGATGATCCATCTTAAGTGCTGAGACTTTTGGAAAAGACTGTATAAAAGCTTTTTAAAGTATGCCTTTAAGCCCTTTTTATAGAGATTTTTCTTATCATATAATATGTACATGAAACTGAAAAGCTGTCAAATAAATAATTATACCTTTGTACACCATTCAATCTATAGCCACACTGAGAATAACATTACTCATGTGTTATAATAATCTTAGGTTCACATCATTATATTTAAAAGTTGTGTTATATTTAATCTACCTGACTTATTAAAGATAAGAACTTTATTTTTTTTCAATATTTATGTAGATTAGCTCCACTTCCTCTGCAAACTTGAAGAGGTTATTAATGCAGTTTAGTAGACCAGATTTACTTGTTAATAATAATAAGACTTAATCGTCTGCATGGCTATAAGGCAACTAATTTTAGAGTTATTAAGTGCCAGATTCTGATTTACATGATGAATCAAAATGGTATAGATGATCACTTAAATACAAATAAATAGTTGAGGTTGGTTATCCCCTTGTCTAACTCCAATTGTTGATTTAAAAAACTCTGATCTTTTGTCAATTTTTAAGCATATTATCAGCGACCGCTGTGGATATATGTAGACTTTGTGTATTAAAAACAGGAATTGAAGAGGCCAAAATAAAGCATAACATGTCATTACAAACATACAGAACATCGACACCACAAAGCATTCCAGGATTCACGTATAAGACTGTTTTAAATTTCTAACTGACTTGCAATCTTAGCCAAATTATAGCATAATAATTACATTACATGTATGTTTCATTATAATACGTTATTTTGATTGGCTAACAGCATTCTCGCGTCATTCTAAAATCAACCTTCATTTCGTAAAGAAAAGTAACATGCATTCATGACGACACGAGCTTCCACAATAAAGTGCACAGGTAAACAAAAGAAAACTTGATAGAAATCGTGTTTTCATGATCTTAGCAAAAAATGTAATTATAAGTATTGAATGCTTCTTTTAGTAATTTTATAGGGTTGTAAACGCGTTGACCGTGTGCACATTTTTCGAACGAAGCGCTTCCGCGCTTCATACAAAATGTACTGCGGTCAACGCTTTTACACCCCAATAAATTTACAAAAAGAAGCATTCAATTCTTAAGTGTTTTTATATTTTGTGTGAATGTGCTATTGACTTAATGTGTTTTATTTTATTTACATATTGGGACAAATGCTCAAAAGTACTTGTGTTTTATTGTTGCATACAATATACTTTCCGAATTAAACAAAAAATGTTTCCGATTTTGAAACATGATGCATCTGTGGATTTTTGCTTAATTATTTGTAATGTCAAATTATTTGCCTTTAATGTCACGGAAATTGAAATCTAATTAATCTTATGATCATAGATGGTCAGGCGCGGCTTTAGAAGGGTGCGCCCCCTAAAGGAAAGGTAAAATTACAGCCATTTTTTCAGTCAAAATATGGTCCTTAAGTTATAAACTCCTTAGATCTCCTTAAGTAATCAACATCCGTGGGATGTTGGATATGTACTGATTGATATTTTGGTCTTAGATACATGATATTTTTTCTATAGTGCATGGTTATTGGCTTTGAACTAGCTGCCAGTAACTGCTAGTACTGTCAGGTCTGTACTTTATGTTTTTTTGTTTGTTTTTAGGGCTGTACAAAATACACTGCCACGTCCGGTCTGTATTTTTGTTAGATTTTTTCCCTGCTTTGCATCGATCTGATGAGCGTTAAGCCCTTTTCAACTGATTTGTATTGTTTGCTCGTAAGTTGTACTGTTACACAATTGGCGCAGGTTAGGGGAGGGTTGTCGCCTTCAAACATGTTTAACCCCGCCATATTCTATACGTCAGGAGCCTGTAGTTCAGTGGGTTACTCTTGTTCAGCAGGGTTGTCCGTTTTGTATGTAGACCATAGCATAATGTTCGTGTGATATTCTCAATGTCTCTGATATTTTGATATTTGATGTTAACTATTTGCTTGATCTTTTCAGATGATGAGTCCATAATAAACTGCACCATATGAGTCCTTCATCCACAATTTTATCACTTATCTCGTTATCATGATCACGTATGATTTTAGCGTTGTTAAATGTTTATCTCTTTCGGTTTTCAGTGCCTTGCATTCTAGCATAAAGTGTTCTGTATCTTCCGTAGCTGAATTGCACAATAGGCACATATCCTGTTCCACATTATTGCTAAACTTGGCTCGGTCTATTTGAAGTGTATAAGTCCTAGTTATGAGCTTTGCTTTTATTTCTGCTTTTTTTTTTACTTCTAAAGTTTTATTTGAGGTGAATTTCCATATTTGGTGAGGATTTACAATTAGCCTTGTTTTAATATTAATGTATTTCATTGTAGATTTTTCAGATCATTTTCTATCTCCCATTTCTCTGCCCAATATTGCTGAATGGCACACTTGACAGTTGTTTTCCATTTTACCTAGTTAGTTTGACTAATAACAGTTCCTGAGCTTTTGGTAGTTTGTATTTTGATAAAGCAGTTTCTAATCTACTAATGAATGTATTAGCATTTTGTTTTGACATTATAAGTTGCCTTTCTATAATTCTGTATTCCGGCTATGCTGGTGTTGTCTTGAATTATGCCTCAAAAAAGTTAATGTAGCAGTCGGTCCACAGTTGACTGTATTGGTTCTATACCTAGTAAACTATAGTTGGCAGCACTAGCAACTCTTTTTGGTATTCCTTGTATCTGTCTGCATATGATAAGCTCAGGAACTGTTATTAGTCAAACCTCGGTCGTTGGCCTCGGTAAATATCATATCCCTGGTGTTGATAAATCATTTTATCAACCTCATCAAAAGTCAATAATTGTATATTATATGTGTGTTTAAACAATGAATCCAATAATATTCATATTTTTATTGAGATTAATGTTATTTTTAATATTCCCGCCAAACAAACTTGTGTCGCCTCGGAACATCTCTACAACGCACCTGTCAAGAGCGTGTGAATGACCCAGACGATTTACGTAGTTACAGGAAGTAGAATACATTTGTCTGTCTGCAGTCTGGTAGTTGATGTGTCTTTTTTCTTCTTCTTTCTTCTTATTTTAGTCTGTCATTAGAAAATGGTAATTACGGATAAATCTGATAGGACATTTTAGTCTTAAAACTGGTCTTTATTCAGAAAATGAAAGCCAAGGACTTTGGTCATTCTGGTGCACCTTATGACATAATGTTGACGTCCACATTATAAGTTGAATGCCAATCACTGCTAATTTAATGGTTAAGACATTTCTATAAAGATATCAGTTAGTAAAAAACCAAATCAGAAAACTGCTGTCGTATTTACACTCCCTACTCCAAAATGGCCAAATTATATCTTATCTCGAGTTGTTTTTTATGAATGTCAGAATGGGTACACAGATTGACCACAGCACCGATTTGGTGTAAATGACGTCATTTAACAATAGGTTCTTACTGTGACATAATAACATGAGTATTGTGACGTAGGAAATGTACAGGATAGTGCACGAATTTCAAAGTTCTCTATTCTAGATATAAAATAGTCATTTTGGTTAGAGGTCATGCCTTGCGGCAAAGTGTTAAAAGTGATTATATAGAATAGATATAAGAAGATGTGGTATGAGTGCCAATAGTGATCATATAGAATAGATATAAGAAGATGTGGTATGAGTGCCAATGAGACAACTTATCAATAAACCAATAGTTAAGCAGCAAAATATAGAAGCTAACATCATCAAAATAATGAAATGAATGTTATGTCACACCAATGACAAAATTATTTATGAACTATTTACCCTTGATATACTAGAGATGACACAAGTGGTGTGCAGCAGCTGCTACGTGGCTGAGAAATTGTGTTTATGTAATTAAAAATTATGTTCTGACCTGTCACTCACAGTTTAATAAGTCGGCTTCATTTATATATACATGTAATGCAATGGGAAGTATGGATATACAACAGTAAAAGTCTTCAAAGATTCTGATCTGATTATGTCTGAAATTCATGATGTAAAATTCCTTTACACACATGGAAAAACACATTACCAAAGGAACAGTGCTACATATATATTTAGAAAAGTTTTTGTATACTGTACATACTGAAATAATTTATTAATCATAACCATGATAATTCATGAGAAATAATCGATTGGTTGATTGCTTAATGAGAAAAACGTGAGCAGAAATATTCTTGCATACAACCTTCATTTTCTCTCCATGCCTTTATAATCTTCTTACATATTTTAATAAGTATTTGTAAAACAATTTTTTTTCATAAAAATAAGAAGATGTGGTATGATTCCTGATGAGACAACTCTCCACTAGAGACCAAATGGTGTAAATGTAATATACATTAAAAATGTTTGAATGCACATTTGAAATTCCAATTTACATGTAGGGTGTGTAATTTTAATTCTCAGTACATGTCTTTTACTTAGATCATGTACATGTAGATACAAATTCAATCAAGGCCAGTTATTTCATTCATCTGATTGGTTTGCCTTTCGTTTCGAAAACATTAAAATAATAACATGATTGATACCAACCAAATGTTATGAAACTTATAAATAATGCTTAAGCTTATTACCACAAAACACAGATCAAAGTTGAATTTTGGTGTCGTCCAGTGATCTGGAAGGATTTTTTCTCTATGGGCCCAGGACCCCCCAAAAATAAATTCAATGGGCCATTTTTAGAATTAATGGGCCATGTTGTCAAATGAGTGGACCATTCGTTTACAATAAAAACAAAAAATAAAAAAAGGGTATATTTCACTGTACTTACAAGTATGATTCTAATTAATATCAAGAATATTGTTCCTGTGATTTTGTAATTTCAATTTCAATGAAAATACAATAACTTCTTCCAAACCGGGCAATATTTACGATAACCTTTATTTACAATGTTAAAACTGGTACTGTTCCCTTGTTCATGTTCATGGTTTTTTTTTTACATTAAGGATGTTGGCTACTCTTGTTTTTGACTTTTTGTCAGATATTCGGAATCCTCTAGTTTTATCCATGTGGTGCCAATAAAAATTTTGCCCACTGACCCCTACTTTTCTTTTCATAATTTTATTGCATATAGTTTTAAAAGTCATTTTTGAAAATTTTATAAAATGCTTGTTATTTTTTCATTGTTTTTGAAAGGAAAAAGGTGTCAATGTTAAATGTATGAAAAATCTAGAGAAAACCATTTCCAGCCAAATTTTCAATTGATTATATCTCAAAAACTAGAACACGGACGTATCGTTTTTTTCTAATTTTTAAGTTCCCTTATTCATATTCTTTAAATCTATGACAGTCTTTTAAAAATCTTGTTATTTTGAAACAGAGGAGCAAACATCCTTAAATTTGGGTCTACGTCGATACCATACTTATTCCAGACGTTCCCTATTAGAGGAAGTTTCTGGCATTTCCTCTGCACTTGTATTATTATTACTTCATCAGGATGACAAGAATAACAGTAGAGAGCAACGTTAATTGATAAGACACAACAACAATTCGCAGAAGGCATGTTTACAAAATGTCAAAACGAGCCAAAGACCAAAAAAAAAAAGACAAGGACAGTTAAGCCCCTTTTATGGAGACAAATAATATGCTATTCATAAAAAGGCTTTTGGGTTTTTCAATCGAAATAATAGTAAGCTTACTTAAAAGATTATAATAAGAGAAGAATTCTCGCCTGTACTAGCCAATTTTCACAAATTTAAAGTTGTTTATAAAAAATTATATCATGAATGATGGTTAATTACGTTTTTGGGGTAATCAGTCATACCGCATGTTGCTATTATTATCATAGGAAAACATCCGAGACGTCCCAAAAATATATAGGTGCTCCTATCATTGGAGTAAACACTACACAGTTGTGTACTCACACATGGCGGCACGAAATACTATCGGAAATCCATTTGACGATATCTCAACGTTTCAAAACGAAGTGAAAAATATCATGCGCCACGCGGGCGCTTACAATTGTCACTCTATGCGCCATTTCTGGTCGATAAGCGCAATTGGCGCAAGGCGCACGTCCTTCCCGATCACTGTCGTCACTTTTACCGTTCTAGAGTTATGTCCCTTTACACATGGAAAAATTGCTGAATTTTTCGTTTCTGTTCTCTAACTTAAGTTTGCCTCAACCAAATGTTATGAATCTTATACACAATGCTTATTACCACAAAACACAGATCAAGTTTGAATTTTGGTGGCGTCACTTTTACCGTTCGTGAGTTAGGTCCCTTTATAACATTACATGCACACAGGGGCATCATCTGTGTCCCATGAACACATTCCCCATTTATGAAATTTTTTTTTCGTTTGAACAATTCAACATGTTGAAGTGAGGCATATTTTTGTTAGAAAAAAATCCACTAAAGCTGACCTTTCATGAAAATCATCACTGTTTTAGATACACTAGATTACAGACATTTTTATAAAGTTTCCATAGAATATCAAGAAAAGTAAATTTTGTACCTTCCATAAACTGCAAAAGAACCTGTCTAATTTCAAGGTAATGAAACCCCATGAAAATGGGAGAGATGATAATTAAAAAGATAATATTATGATGCCTTACATATACATTGTACATGATATAAATATAGATCCCTTGAATTATTTGTTTAATTTTTTTAGGAGATGAGTTGGTGACTGCAGGTTGATATGGGTGCTGCTGCTGTGAGGAGTCAACAAGGCACACATGTGTTCATGTTTTCTCCAATGCCAGGACAACGAGGAACAACAAACAATCAATTTACCTCAAACGCTCATCCATCAAACTCGCCAAAGGATATGGCATGTGAAGCATGTAATGTGAATTTTAATATCTTCAAAAGAAAGGTAATACAACATAATTCATTCAATATAAAACAATTCGATAACATTTTGTTGCCATGACCTACAATTCATGTTTGAGCAACTAAGATTTAATTATTATGTTACATATCAAGTTCATTATTGTACACACCTATTCAGGTACATTTATCATATTTTTCCACTGTTTTCTCATGACAGTGTATACATGTACGTAAACATTGTTCTTGAACATTTTGATCATTATAACTTACTGAGATGTTACTTTTTGGTTGACCTCATAAAAAATTAAGCATTCATGCACAAGTTTGTAGCTTATTAACCACAGTCAGCGTATCCATATTTTACTCTTTAAACAGACATATCACATAGTTGAATTGTCATGAAGGTAGTCTGTGAGATTTTATCATTATCAAGTAACATTATTACACATGTTACAGATCAATTACAAAATATGTTAAATTTTGTATTTCAGAAAATTTGTCGAGAGTGTGAAAGATGTTTTTGTTCAAATTGTGTACATAGATTATCACTTAAAGGACAGAACAAGGAGACATTTCGTCAGTGTAAGAAATGTCGTATTTTACTGACTGGTACCTTTACACGACAGGAACTTATCAAGTGGAAAGTTAAGGATTTAAAATGTTTGCTAATGAAACGTAATATTTCTACCGATGGTTGTAAAGAAAAACAGGAACTGATTGATCTCATTGTGATAAATTTTGGTCACATGACTAGGAATGATGATGTGGAAGAAAGAAGTGTAAGTATCTAAAACTATTTCAAAAAAATAATCTTAGGCAGATTTTTACATTCCAAAATTGTCTCCCCATTATGCGTATTGAATGTTTTTAACCAAGAAAATGGTAGCCATTGTAAAGATGATATGCTTCCGTGATAGCTCTTGATAACTGTATATTGTATTCTCATTGCAATATAACTTGAAAGTTGTATTTGGAACGACAAATGTTTCTTCTAACTAATAATTATAAGCACCATTAAATATATATTTGTTATGCCGTAGAACTACTTATGTTATTGCCTGATTGGTTGAAAGGCTATTTTGTGAAGGGACAGACTAGAAATTTTCAGATATTGAAGATAGAATACAAAAGAGATTTGAAGCATTTTTTAAACTTATGCAATTCCAAAATACAAATGTAGTTTATGGTCAAAGGGTTTTGGCAGCTATTTAATTGGGTCTTTGTGTTAGACTTTTATTTTTATAGTCTTATATTAAATTTATTAATATGTCCACATTTTACTTTGATAATGTATCAAAGAAATTCAAGTTAATTTTTGAGAAACAATGAGTAAGAAGTGCACTTACAGTTTCAATAATACAATAATGGTGGCACAAGGTTGTTTTGTTATTCAAACACACCAACTCTGTTATGATGACTCATTTATACAAAGGTATTTCATTTGATCCATATGTTTTGTTTTCTAGTACATTTTAGTTTTGATTTTAAATGTTATTATAAATATCAAAATATAGAAACAATGGCATCTGAAGCTAGATGATACATGTGTATATGTACAAAATGTACATCAATTGTTTTTATATGATCGCGTCGTATAATGCTATGATGATGTCGTCGTCCAAAGACACATATGGTTTCTGGACAATAACTTTAGTTTAAGCGAATGGATCTCTATGAAATTTTACCAGAAGGTTCAATACCACAAAAGGAAGGTTGGGATTGATTTTGGGGGTTATGGTACCAACAATTTAGGAATTAGGGGCCAAAAACAAGCATTTTTGTAGTTTCCGGACAATTATTTGTGTGTAAGTGTATGGAACTCTTTGAAATTGTACCACAAGGGTTCATATCACAAAGGGACGACTTGGATTGAGTTTGGGGGTAATTGCTCCAAACGTGCAGGAATTAGGGGCATAAAAGGGGCCAAAAACAAGCATTTCTCTAGTTTCCAGACAATGACTTGTGTTTAAGTGTACTCTCTGAAATTGTACTACAAGGTTCCATACCACAAAGGGAAGACTGGGATTGAGTTTGGGGGTAATTACTCCAAAGGTGGGGGGGGGGTGGTTCCAAAAGTTGGGGGGATTTTTTTTTCCAAATTTTTTTGGGAGGGGTCATTTTTTTCTTCAAAATTTTGAAATCTTCAATTGTACAGTATTGCGCAATAGCAAGAAATTTTCAATTGAAAACAAATACAAATGTTTTAACCAATTTCAAAGGGATTGATTAAGTCTTTAATTTTTTGGGGGTTTTAACCTTGTATAATTTTTTTGGATATTGGGCCCCATTATAAATTGGTCTACATTGAGGTCAAAAGGGTCCGAAATTAAAAAAACTGAATTATTGCGGCTGTATGATTTGCTGAATCTTAATGTGCATTAAGATTTTTTTGTTTTGGGCCCTGTTTTCAAATTAGTCTATGTTGAGGTTTGAAGGGTCCAAAATTAAACTTTGTTTGATTTCAACTAAAATTAAATTTTTGGTGTTTTTTATATGCTGAATCTAACCATGTTGTTAGATTTTGGATATCTGACCATTTCAAATTTTTAAGATCTTTGACCACATTTATTTTGTGTCAGAAACCTATATTATGTCAAAATTTGATAACAATCCAAATTCAGACAGTATCAAGCTTGAATATTGTGTCCAAACTTGCCCCAACTGTTATGGGTTCAACCTCTGCGGTCGTATCAGGCTGCGCTCAACGAAGCATTTTATTGTTTTATACATTTAAAAGACAAAGAAATGGACTCAAACACGCTTGAATGTAAAAGATGTACCCAACTTTCTCTTCAGGAAAAGATTATTTTCAAAATTTATTCCCCCTCAAAATACTGGTGACAGACATGCATATTGATGCTTTTAATAGATCAAATCTTTTATCTTTACAAAATTTTTTGGAATTTTTTGATATGCTTCTTCAAGATCAAAATGGTTGGCACCTACCAATATCAGTTGTTTTGTTACTATTTGTCTTTAATTAAAAAGATTTATTATATCTTTGAGCTCAATACTACATGTATGTTTACATGTAGAAATGTTTACAACATGCAATGTAGTCTATTTGTATTACAAATAATATATTATATTTATATACAGCTGTATTAAATTTTCAATGACCATAGACAGTCAGGGGTACTACTTGTACAAGTAATTTTTATTTACTTGAAGAAGTAAATATTAATATACTTATATAAGTAAATTTGTAGGATACTTATACAAGTGAATTTTATTTACTTGTATAGGTAAAAAAAAATTGGGCTTAGTTATGTCCCTTAGACATTCAGATTTTTTTACTTATACAAGTAAAAAAGTCATCCTATCTTCTTTTCTTGAATTCTTAGGACTTCTTTGCTCTAATAGAATTTTTGATTGTCTGTCCTTTGCAGATGTCTTTAACTAATCATTTAAGTGTAATTTCATGGACAATGAAAATCTCATTTGTCTGTTATCTTCAGAACACTGCTCATTTACAAGCCCCCAAGGGGCAATTTTTGAAGGCCTTGCGCAAATACTTAAGATTTTTGCGCAATCAGTTTCTTTGTTGAATTAATGAGATGAAACATTGAACTCTAATAAAAAATTATGAGCTAACCTGAGAAAAATTGTTAAAGGCATGGTTTTACATCTGAAAACTTGAGAATTTTTGTGGGATTGTAAAAAAAATTTACTTATACAAGTAAATTTTTGAGAAAATTAAGGGGAGATTATTCAAACATTATAATTAACTTATATAAGTTTATTTTATTTACTTCTTCAAGTAAATAAAGATTACTTGTACAAGTAGTACCCCTGACTGTAGAAACAGGTGTCAAATATCCACAAATCTCAACGTAGAATGTTTTTATCTTCTAAGATAATGAGTTACGTTTTCTATTGTTTAATTATACTCATCTTCAAATTTGTACCTACATGTACAATTACCATGCGTAACACGATGGGTGCCACTAGTAGAACAGGAGTTACTTACCCTTTCAGAGCACCTGAGATCATCCCAGGTTTTGTGATCTTGTTAGTCTTTTCACTGTCTTTCATTTTTTTGCCATCGTGTTGTCAGTTTCTTTTGGGGAAAAAATTTGGTTGATTATATAGGGAATCACTGAAGCATGACTGGAGCGGGCCCCCCCTTAGGTCAGTCAGCGGGACCCCCCTTATGAAAAGTTCTGGATCCGCCACTGGTTACAGGTAAGATTACAAAACCCAACAAAAAGTATAGGCCCGCTCCAGTCATGCTTCAGTGATTCCCTATATAATCAACCAAATTTTTCCCACATAAGGGGGCCCCACACCCCCTGGATCCGACTATCGTAACCATTTGAAATATTGCTGAAAAGAAAAAAACAGCTATTTTTTTTTTCAACTGAACAGATCATTCATCAGTTTAAATACTGTAACATGAAAGTTATTGTTGCCAAATACTGGTAAATTCCAAAGCTATAAATAGGATTGTTGACTTATTATATTTTTAGGATACTGAAAGTGTTATATCAGTAGATAACCCAAGTCAGACACCAAGACCACCTCAGTCATCATCCGTCCCTACCAACGGTGGAATACCAGGTCAGGTTCCTCAGAGGACCACTTCACCAAGACAGGAAACAGATGAAGATAGGACATCAAGGTTACGACAGAGACAGCATGAAGAATTGAGACAATCAGAGGAGGTTTTACGTCCAGTAATCAATGCTGATCCTGATCATTCAGTAAATACTTGTAACCAAAAAAAAAAGAATGTTATAATCCTGATCTACTGACCCTTTTATTTAAAAATAGAAACTTTTTACTTATGCCATGTATGCCGTCATATTGTAAACTGGCATATATTTTGGTCATTTTATTTTTTCATTTCATTTTCTGATTTTGCAAGTTTTCAAACTAATATATCATTACAATTTCAAACTGTAGGCCCACCAGATTATTAATTAACTGACTAAATTATTCATTATAGTCATGATAGTGACATGTGTTTTTCACAAAATAGTATATAATACAATGAAATATAAAAACAATAATTAGAACACCCGACCCTTTGGGTCTATAAGTCACTTTAAACATTAATGTCAATGGTACGACGAACAAAATAAATCAATTTTATCAAAAATTTCCATATAAAAAGTTTTTTCTCTTACTGAAAGATTGCAATAGATATTTAGCAGTTTTTCTTGGATGTTGACATAGTAAATATTTAAACTGTTCATCTTTTGATAGTATACATAAATTTTCAATTTGTGAGAAATGTTGAACACGTAGATTGTTGTAAAAACTAGTTTATGAGGAAATGGAATTCGTTTTCCACACAGTTCTCATCACACATTTTACACAACCGGTCATCTTCTGCTTCACCTACAAAATGACCAGTTTCTTACCTGAGTGGAAGAATGCCACACCTGAGTTGCACTATTATGGACCTTTCGTTACGGTTAAGATTAAGTTCTATGTAATGTTCACAGCTGTAATGAGATTTTATGAGTCTGTATGTTTGAAGTTACGGAAAGTTCGTTAAACCTTTCTCCCAATCTGCAGATCATTTATCTGTAGGACCAGCAACAGTTTGCACTGTATCAGCTCTATGTCTGACAGAAATAAGAGGATCATGGGTTAAATGTCATTGAGGTAGATAACCAACAAGACAAGTAAACCAAATTTATTATCTTTGCCTTCAGCAATTAGCAAACCAAAACACCATGTAACAGTTTCTAAATGCCATGGCAAAAAATAAAACAGACATTTTATAACGTTAACATACATATTAATTGATATTACTTTCAAACAATATGAATTTAAAGAAAATAAGAATATTATGACTGAGTATGTCTTCCTGCAGACTATGTCTGTTGCTGTGCAAGCTAGCGTGTTTGTATGAAAATAAGGAGATGTGGTATAATTGCCAATAAGACAACTATCCACCAAAGTTTAAATGAAGTGGATGTAAGCTATTACATGTATAGGCAACTATATGGCCTTCAAATATGATAGACATGAGCAAACGACAACCCCTGATCTACAGGCTTCTGACTTAGTTAGGACAGGCACATATCAAGTGTGGAGGGTTAAAATAGTTTGAAGGCGCCAACCCTCCCTCTTTTGATATGGTTTAGCGAATTGCTTTTATCCTGAATGTGCAAGTAATATTTTTGTTGGAAGTTGAATATCCTTCAATATTTCAATCATATAAAATGATTCATATTTGAATTTTCAGAAAGAGAAAAAAGATCCTAACCAGACCAAAAGAATGAATATAAGTGATATAGAGAATTTAGAGGCAATAGACAATCTTACAGTGAAGGAAATGAAAGAATTGTTATTTAGAAGTTTTGTTGATTACAAAGGTTGTGTGGAAAAAGAGGAGCTGAAAAATAAAGTCATTAGATTATGGAAGGAACATAAAAATAACGAAGAAAAGGGTGAATAATTACATCCTGAATTACATATCATCTCAAAATTAGTCATTCACCTTTTAAACCGGTTTTAAAATTTAAATAATTTTGTATGACTCACCTATTATTTGTCCGATAAATATGTAACATAATTTATAACTAAAGAATATTTTGTAAACCTTCATTTCTGTAGCCATATAATTAGATGTATAATGCCAATGTTGGTGTGCTAGACATGAGTTGCTGGAATATCCTCCATCAAATATGATCAAGACAATACTTTGTAGTATCGGTTCCCTTTGCCTATGTCTTCCTGTTCAGTAGCTCCTTAATTCTATCACTGCTTTGAGAAGTGTGCAGACATTATCAGCGATGTCACGATGTCTGAGGAGAAGTTATCAGCATTTTTTCACATTGATATCGTTAAAATATCAGCTGCTCGACACAGTGTAAAGCTTTTTTATTCGTTCGCTGCACTCACTCGCCAAAAAGGTTTACATTGTGATTTGCAGCTGATATTTTTACGATATCAACGTGTAAAAAACATAATCTATCCTTATCTAGCCAAATGGACTATTTGATTTAAACATAATTCACCCTAGGAAATGGCCCTGAAATGTTTTTTTTGAATTTTAACTACAATATCTTTATAACACTTTCTTTTCTTGTCTAGCAAATTGAAACTCACCTTAATATTCCTTACAACAGGAGTCTTTACTCTTTAATATATTTAATTCAGTTACACAGTTTTTTTATCACATGTTTATAAATAGATATTTATTATGAATTATTATCTTTATCATAATAAATATTTTTCATTTCAGCTAAAAAGATGGCAGATGGTAAGATTTAATGTACTGTTTATATATATATATATATATATAAGTCTAAATTGAAAACAATGTACAAACCTATGATCGCGTTGGATAAAAACTGCGATTTTTATAAATGTGCATGCAAAACAAATTTCTTGGTAGAGAGGTCTAAATACAGCACAAACAACATTTTCCAAAAGACCAAAAATGTGAAAAAGTATATTTAAACAAAATGCATTTGACTAGCAGGTCGAACAATGGATGTTCTTTAACCCTGCTGACTGCTATTGGCGATTGCCAAATAAACGGATCACAAGATGTAACAAAATGGATCTTTATTATTAATTTAATACCAAACAGAAAACAATAAACTTGCGGAAAAGATGGTATACGGCAAACATGAGGTGCAAAAATTTGTACACCATATCCGGATTTCGACAATTAATGTCTCTTCAGTGATGTTAGGAATCAAAACGGTATTTGGAAGGCCATATAATTTACCTCAATTTAGGATAGACTTGAATTTTGAAGAGTCGAAATAGGATGAACAGATCATATAAACCCGAAGGCAAATATAATACAAGCCCAAACGAAAAAATATAAATAAGTCTAAATTAAAAACAAAACGTTCAAACCTATGATCGCGTTGGATAAAAACTGCAATTTTTAAACGTGTGCATGCAAAACAAATATATATATATATATGTATATCTTTTTTTCATTCATAGTAGAGGAATTTGAATTAAAAAGAATATTCAAATGTTTACAGAAGTACATTTAATGATGCGACTCCTACAAAACTTTAAATTCCAGTTTTCAATAGTTTGAACATAGCTGAAACACATGTATCACATTAATTTCAGAATTAACAAACCACCAAAAGCTGAAGAAGGCTGATAATAACAATTTAAGATTTTTGGAATATTCTATTATTTTTACTAAGATACCAAAGATAATGGAAAAAGACTTTTAAAAGCCTACTCACAAATTAACTTGTACAGTAGACTCCGGCAAATCGGATACCCAAAATGACAGCTAAAAATATCTGATTACCCGATATATTCAATTAGACGATGAATGTATATTCATTGAATATTCTGCAATAATGAGTAGATATAATCCTGAGATGTTACTAACCCTGACAATTGCTAAATATGTGAAAGGGCTGGAGGATTGATGGAGTGATTTTTATCAGTAACATCACCACGATGTTTGTGTAAAAAATTATCAGCTGATTATGTAATGATTAAATTTGTTTGCAGTTTTTAAATCCTTTATTTATTAAAATAAATCAAATGTCCTGAAATATTTATGTGAATTATTATCTACCATCCATAGTTTGTCATTATTTGTTTTTCATAAGCAATTAATATCCATTATTTACATTATCACACAGGTAAACTAATTTGGCTATAAATAGATCTAAGCATGTCTGTGTAGAGTCTCCAAACTAAAATCGTATTTGTTATAATTTTATTTCTTTAAATAATCAAATTTAAATTTATGAAAATAATCATGATTGATAAAATATTATCGCATAAAGTTTACGTTTTCTGAAGACTATTTATATTTAGGTCATAGTTCTAGAGGCTACCTCACAAATATGTAAACATCCAAAACGGCGTCCATGACATGTGGTTACTTTTGCACATGTGAAAAAAATATATCTGACAAAAGTCAGATTTCTCTTGTCAAAAGGGATTTATATTTATATTGCAATAAATTATTCAGAAGGAGATACATTCAGTTTAGATTATATTTCTGATTCTGTGAACATTTAGAGTTTAATCAAAATTCTCCAAACAGCAACGTCAACTTGTCAACTGAGTCTTGCATATTTTATAAATAAATTCAAACCATTTGAAGTAAAAGGGCATCTAATTCACATGACAAAGGAAGACAATGATTAAAGACAACAATTTATTAAGAAATAGTTCCTTTTATTTAGTAAAAACAAAATCTTCTTGTCTGCAAGATTGTAAATTCGTAACTTCCGGGTCCATTTCCTGTCAGAAAAACATTGAAAATATTCGATTGTGCATGGTTTTGAACAAAATGACCTGAATATTCTTATCCGATTTGCCGGTATATTCTTATATCCGATATTCGATTACACGATAAAATTAACATTAAACATATAGGGAAGGGTTTGGTGTTTTGAAATAATATTACAATAGCCGATATATTCGTTTAGCCGATATCCGATTAGGTGGAGTCTACTGTACCACCACTCTGGGGGTAGGGTCTGTATATTGCAATCAATGTGTATGTCCATCTCTTTCACTTCATCAACATCTTATAAAGAGTGGGGGTATATTTTGAAAGGGGTGTGGAATTTCTGCTCTTTTTTAAGGGCTGTAATATAAAGGTTCTTTAAATTTCTGATTTCAAAATGTTTCATTTTTTTTCTGACTTTTTAGAAGGCAGTGGTGGAACAAGTAATGGGAAAACCCCTGAAGACGAAGTTTGTAAGATTTGTATGGATGCAATGGTAGACTGTGTGCTGTTAGAATGTGGTCACATGGTGTCCTGTACAGAATGTGGTAAAAGACTTTCAGAATGTCCAATTTGTAGACAGTATGTTGTAAGAGTTGTCCGTACCTTTAGAAGTTAGGCCATACCAAAATATTTTTAGCTTCTCATGACAAAATTGAACATTTCAGGAAGTTCATGAAACCAACAAGTCCACCCAGCTTGGTCATATGTTTTTTTTTTAAATTTACATCCACATCACATCAGACATTAAATTGTTAACACTTTCAATCAATTACAATAATGTTTAATTGACTAAAATTGTGATTCAGTAATGAAAATGAGAAAGAAGAATCTTGTAGATTTTTGTAAAAGTCAAAACAAGTTGATGCAACAGGCATTAAGAACATATTTCAGGACCAGAGAAGCTAATAATTTTTTTTTATCGCCTTAAAACAATTTGATAAAGATTGTTTTGAAAAATCAAAAAAATTATGACTCAGGAAGTCAAATTTTATATCTTGTTAATGAAAAGTACATAATGTTATTAAAAATGTATTTTTTGTTGAATTTTAACAGTATATATGTATAGTTATCAAGATTTTGTAGTTTTAATATGTTTTACCAATTATTTTTTGCAGTATTTTGAAAAATTTAAGCATAAAGAAATGTCTTTTTTCTGTCACATTTAGTTTTTTTTGTGTTTTAAACCTTATCTGAAAAATGAGATTTTTATAAATTTCACATTTATTTTATTGGAATATTATTGCCAATTTTTCATAAGAAAAATAATTTTGAATATAAAACTGAAGTTATAAAAGAAGATAATCAATGTTTGAAAAGCAATCTTAGAAACGTAAATTTTGCTACTTTGATTCCATAGAAGGTTGTCCCTTGCAGATTCATAGTTAAAAATAATAAATATTTAATTCAAAATATCCTTCATAGTTTAACTATTTGTTTTTGTAGTCAAATAAACCATTAGTAACATACTTTATGTAGGTTAGAAAATAATTGCAACATTTCTGTCTGTTAACAATGATAAATTCAGTCTGATAACAAGTTAACTAAACATGCATAACAATCAAGTATGCAATGTTGACAATAGTTATTGCATGAAGAAAATGTTACATCCGGAAACAGGACATTGCTGTAATTTAATCTTTCACACACAAAAAAATCTCCCTCAAGCACTAAACTTGAGTAATTTATATAATGTTGCTATGTTTCTGTCAGAGGCAAAATTGAAATTTTCACTGGTCCTAAAATGTTTCCTATTTTTATTTGCGGTATATTTTGTTCTCCAACATATTGTTAAGTTTGTGATAGACAAATATACCTCATTGTTAAATTTGCTTAATAAAGGTAATTAGTGTAAATGCTCAGTGGTGTAAAAAGTCATAAGAATGGAGAATTTACAGCAAATATACTTGAGTGTGTACATATAACAAGGATGTTAAGTTTGCTTATTTGCTAGGTTGACCATAAATTCAAAAATAAGGAAATGAAGGGTATTAATTTGTGGTGCAAAATCTTTACACATACTTTTGTTTATTACCTATTGAAAGAGTAACAATCTTTATCATTAACCAATCAAATTGCACATGGGATGGGTAACAACAGGATGACTGAAAACCTGTTTGACCATTTGGGGATCAGATTTACAATTGGTGATAAAGAACTTATGAGGGTCTGGATGGTGTTTACAGAATAGAGAATATTCAGCCAATAGTGCAGAAAAATTAGGAAAGAATAGAGAAAAATATGCCATAAAAGTAAAGAATAAAGAATAATGGGGTGCTAAAATATAAAGAATGGAGAATAATGTGCAAACAAATATAAAGAATAGAGAATAATGGACAAAAATATAAAGAATAGAGAATAATGGACAAAAAATATAAAGAATAGAGAATAATGGACAAAAAATATAAAGAATAGAGAATAATGGACAAAAAATATAAAGAATAAAGAAAACTTACCTTAAAAATTAAAGAATACAGAAATGAAGGACCCCCATCCAAACCCTCACTTATGGTTCACCTAACATACATTCAAATTTGATTTATGAAGTACACACTCAATATGTTTAGGGGTAAAAGTATCTGTGTGCAACATAACATGGAATGTTAAAGAACTTTAAGATTAAGGTGATGTTGTTATTCATATGTTGGGAAACATTGGATGCATAAGATTTTGCTTGTTCATGTTTGATATTAAGACAGTTTTATTGCAGTGACACATTTCGTGACTGTTTTGTTGTTGAAAGCCGATTCAGAAAATCATGTTGTGGAAAACTGTATGTGAGTGTTTATAAGTTTAAAGATCCCAAATTATCAATTAAAACACCAAATTTTTATATAAGAATTTTTTTTAAGTATGAAAAAATTGCAAGTATGTAAGTAAAAATGGTTACTGTTGTATACCTTCAAAAATATATGTCTCTTTAGGGTCACTTAATTTAAAAGTTAGGTATCTAGGAAAACAAAATTAATGTTGGGAAGTGGCTACAAGAACAGAATACAAAACTACACAATTGGTACAATCTGCAAATAGAAAAAGATAAAACACCAAATTGCGAAAAACAAAACAAAAAAAATTAAAAGATAAAAAGTGATGGTGTTTAATTTGGATGTAAAAGGTCAGGGATTGTTGAATGATGATTGGTGGCTGGCTAAGAAGTCATTTCTGAGAAATTTTGGTGTTTAACCTTTGATCTTTTGTTTATTTTGAAAGTTGGAAAAAAAGGGTTTCATTTTTCAGAAACATTTTATATAGATTTTATAGGGACATTTTCTGGAAAAAAAAGCATTTGGCGAAACAGACTGGACTTTCATTGAAATTAGAATACAAAGGTTAGCCTGAAACAGACATATATTTTTTCTTGACTTAGCAATGAGAATACAATCACAGCATTGTGCCAAATTTTGTGTGCGTTATTCTTTTTTTTTTTTTTTAAATAAACTTAAACATTTTATAATTTTAAAAGTAGTGTATATGCCTAGAATGGTACATGTATATCAATCTTATAATGTCAGCTTTTCAACAAAATGAGGGCAAATTTGTCAAAAATTGATAGTATCATGAAATATTATTTCTTAATATATGCTTATTTACTTAATTTTATATATTGCTTTAGTTAAATATTTTAAGCTAGTTTAGGATTTTTTTAATGTACTTTATTTATAGTAAATCTGAATGCTGTAAATACATTGCTACAGTGTGCACATGTTTAAAACAGTTTGTAGTCAATTTTTGCCATTGTAGATGTGAAATAGCTATTTCTCATTCATTACACAGCACATGTACTGGTAGATTATTATTTTTCACACAGATTGACTGTGATATATGTATAAATTTGTTACTTTTTTGTTTTACTTTATATATTTATTCATCATGTTAAAATGTACTAACATCATATACAATATATAAATTATAACAGACTTACATAATAGAAGATGGCAACATAATGCTTATTAAACATTATTGAAAGAATTAAACATTAAATAAAAGTTTACCTTTAAAGCTATGTATACATTTGACAATCCAATCATATTTTAAGTAAACTAGAAATGATTCTATTATATATCCACTCTCAAAAAGGGAGTCATATTGTTGTAGTAGGATTTCTACCATTAATTGTTCTTGTTTCCATGCAACCTTGTTGAGGCTTGTTTTTTTGTTATCTTTTGACATAGACATATGCTATTTGGTATGGAGGTGTATTACCACAAAACATACATCAAGTTTACGAATCATTCTGGTGAAGAAAAGACTCAAAGCCAACAAATTGTAAAAAGAAAATTATCATTGACTTATCTACATTTGACAACTTCTAGTAAAGTTACAGTTATGTCTCAGATGCTAAAGACAAATCTTTATGGCGATTTGTTATTGTTGTTCAATAATAGTTTTTAAATTGTTCTCACTTATTTACTGATGGAGTTTATTATTATGTTTTAGATAGCTGTTATTGTTATTAATGTTAATTATGATAATTTTATTGTTGTGCCATATGTATAAGATGGTCCAGTTGTTGGTCATTGTGGACCTTGATTTTTCACTGTGAAATGGTATAAAATGTCTTGAAACACTTGGACTCATTATCAAAGGATCGTGAAAATGTTGCACTTTGTTAATGTCAGAGGAACAGATAGTCTAAAGATCTCATGACAATATCTTCAGTTTATTTTGACTTGCCAAACCTCAATTTCCATAATCATGGTTGTCTTATTAGCTTCAAGAGCTTCCTGTACCTGTAGAGCCCTTATTATGCCAAAATTTATCTGTACAATTATTTTGATGGTGTGTGAAGGTTTTACAGTAATTCTTAATGCTTGTTTTGACAATTTTCTAGATTTATTATAAAAATCAGTACAGTGACTAATATATTTGTTAGTAATCATTGCTTTCTAGAAGTTTTGCATAAAATGCAAGTTTAAAGGTTATTTGTTTCAATTTTTCAGAAACCTTTGATAGTTACTTAAAAATATTTATACCTTAAACAAATGAAAACATTAAAGAAATATGTTAAATTGTGTAGTTATGTTTTTCATATTATTTAATGTTTGAAAATTTTCCACCGCAAATGACTGTAAATTATATGTCTCCCCTTAACTGTGTTTGTGTCACATGTACCCCACTGGAATTACGTTGACTCAGTTATACAATCGGTGATTCCCGGTGAGACGTTTTGATTTTTATATGGGAAAAAATTTGTCACATTGTAACACATTGTTTTGTATTAAATGGAAGACAATACCAGATTTTGAGAAAGGGTTTCCATTTTCAGATTCTCAGGAAAGTGAATATGAATGTGTTCTGATAGCGTAGAAAAATGTATGTGTTGTTATGTTTCATGTAGAGTATTCTGAGTACCTAAATTTGTGGATGGAAGATAAACTTGTATAGGATGAACAAATGCTTGCTATATATTTGCTTTGCTCTAAATTGTTCTCATATTAAAAATAACACATTCAATATTAAAGTTCATTAACTAAGTGTATTTGATATGCATGTCACTATTACAAATACAAAAATACTTTTGCAGCAGGAATATGTTAATACATGTCTCAGGTTGTATAGAATATAACTGAAGCTCTGGTTACATAGATGCCTTACCACATGAACATGACAGATGTGTTACTTAACATCTTTTTAATCATAGATGTTTATTTTAACATAACCCAAGTTCACCTCATTCAAAAGGAGTGATATGTAAACACCTGATTACTTATTATAAAAACATGTAAACCAGCATGGTCTGAAACACTTCAAGAGATGGTATTTCTGTATTGCTTGAATGTTAATGTTGGCTTTGCTTTTAGGTCGAAGCACCTTTTTTAAAATCCTTAAAAACATTTAGATGTTGATCTTTACAGTTGATGCCACCTGATTTGTTAATCTTCATTTATTACTATTTCCATGACATTTTCAGTCCTATTCAAAGTAATTACAAAAAAGATAAAATTCTTTGTCCTATTCCGAAACAGTTTCAAGCAGATGTAATTATTATCTTACATTTGCCTTAATATCAATATTATTGGTTAATATTTACTATTGTTGAGCAAGATCATTGTCGGTTGATGTTTTTTTTTTTATGTATTTTGGCGTTGTAGTCAATATTGAGTTTTGTGACAATGTGATACACGTACACTACTGAAATCGTGCTTATTTATTTTTTTAAATGTTTACAATTGTGCTTGCTAATACAAATTAATTGTTTGCAATTTTGCTTGCTAATGCAAATTAGTTGTTTACCATATTGTTCAATTTCAAGAAATGTCAGTTGAGAAGCATTATTTATAAATCTTCAACATGCACCTCACTTTTATTAATATTGACTAGAAAAGCAAAATTTGATTTTAAAAATAAGATTCACATATTGTGTCCCATGACAGTGCCCCGCTGAAGTGATCCATAGTAATGTGATACATAGGAATCACTTCTGTCATCTGTTTCACATTTTGTAATCCAAAACTCGATGAAAATGGCTTGACAAAATTCAACCAAACTTGCACAGAATCTAACATCTGTTTGTTAATCTTCAACTTTTTTAAAAGTGCCTGACAGAAGTTAACCAAACTTTCTTCTGTTTTCTACAGGACTCAATCATGAAGTAGTGCACCTGCTATTTTAATTTTTTGAGTTGAGTGATTTTTAGTATCTTCACATCATTTTTGAGATGGATGGGTACACACACTTTCCTTGGAAGACTCGCACATTTTTGCTATATACTTCTGCTTTTTAAATTGTTTTCGGGAAAACTACAAAAAATTCTCTTATGAGCCTCCAAAGTTGTGAATTTGCTCAAAAATAGAGATTGACAACTTTTAACATGGACTCCTATTAAATCTATTTACCGATATACATGTTTCTTGACTGGCATTAAATCAATGCATATCAGAACTGTTCAACAGTGAACATAGATGTTGCAGAGATTTATATTTTATGTTGCTTAAGACCTTGTAAATTAATTATATGTTTCTAAGATACTTCATTTTATTTTAAATGTTGTGTCTGAGAACAAGATAATTCATCTTTAAAAGGTCAAAAATGTGCATTATTTTTCATATATCATTTTTATCATGTGATATTTTTGCTAGTCATTTTGATTTTGGATTTTTTTTTATTGACAAGATTAGAATTATGTTTTCAACACTGAGTTCCCATTTTTTGATTGAGAATAGAACGTATACATCACCATTTAATTTATCCACGAGTTTGATAATCATCAACCAAATGCTTAACTTGGAAAAAATGCACAAAGTTGATGGAGTACGTCATTTTACCAAGAAAAAACATTGGTAGATTTCAATTGTTTTGTAAAAAATGTAACAATCCTATCTATTTTTTGTAAAGACCACTATAACATATCCATATATTGTTGCAATTTATCAAAACTAGTTTGATTTCACACATGCTGTTTTTGAAAGTAATCAAACTTCTCAGAAAATTAATAAAAGCTAAAATTGTACCTGACCAATTTAAAATATTAGAATAGGTAACAATTTTACAAATATCTCAAGTAACAAGATAAACTATTCAATAAATGCAACAAAATATGGATGTGCTATTGTGTCTTCAGAGTCAGAATTGATCTGTTGTATGTCAATATCTGACAAGACAACAATATTTGTTTCAAGTCTTTGTTGTGAGCCAAGGTTCTGTATTGAAGGCCGTACTTTGACCTATAATGGTTTACTTTTACAAATTTTGACTTGGATGGAGAGTGGTCTCATTGGCACTCATACCACATCTTTTTATATCTATTTAAAACATTTTAGTTACTGATGCACCATACTATACCTAATTAAGATAAAGCACTTAAAATTAAAAATACTGAAATTCAAATTAACAGTCTTTTGAAAGGATTGACAGTTTATAGGTAAACAGTATTATACATTTTATTTATATTTTATAAGCCGACATACTACAATCATTTACAATGTATGAACATACTATTATGTGTTTCAGTATTGTTTTCCTAATTTTTATTGTAATTATGCTTAGACATTGACTTATATACATGTCTTTTTCAGGCCGTGAATATATAAATCAATTTTTTCTGTACAATTGCATTTCCCTTTTAATGCTTGCTGTTTAAAAACTATTGTTAAAACTAAGTAAAACATAAGACCATCAGTACACTAAAAGACCATGTGATTACTATAATCAAGATCAACAGTCTAATTCATTTATTTTTGTGTGTACTAATTTTCAGAAATTTTGTGAATTCGTAATTTCAACATTTTCACATATATTGCATAAAAGCCTACACCCAGAAAATCCACAAATAATAACTCAAAGGATTATGATGCATTCAAAAGTAAATTGATTGCAAGATAATGTTAACATAAACAGAATTATTAAGGTTGTAAATTGCCACAGAACTTGTTCCATTTTGCAAAGTATATCATGTAAAGCCTTTTTTAAAACAAAGACCTAAATCTGGATCTTTTTTAGTTGTCCACATCACACTGAAAAATGTGGATATATTAAAGAATATCTGAATATCTTGCATCCTGTTCTTTTTAGTGATCACATATGGTCAATAACTGTACACATTTGGTGCACTGTAAATATTAGGCCAAAGTATCATATAACCCTTGTAGGAAAAGCTTTCGCTTAGTAATCTTGTATTACCAGACAGTCATTTATTTTGTGTTGCCTATCAACTTGGAAAACAAAATTATTTAATTTTTTCCATGTAAATTGTTGTCCATTTTTTTAGTTTATTTGGGATACTTTTGCTTCATGTTGTTTGCAGTATTTTTCAAACATAACAAATCTGTGATGTTGTAAAATTCCGGTTTATAAGTTAAAAGATAGTATATTATACCATGATATTCAGGGATTTGATGGTTAAGGGTACATGCTGTTGGTAGAGATTTAGGGGGAAATAAAAAACAGTTGAAAGAAGAAATTATTGCATGCATTTATTATTGCGATGTCAGGAAAATCTACATACAGATAATGTATCAGATATCAGAACGTGAGTTCTTATTAAGACTATCACCTGATTATCGGTGGTCATCTCAACGAGATTGATTTTCTCGCTTGAGCTGGTATGGCGAAAGTGAGAAAAGCAATCGAGTTGAGATGACCAATGATAATCTGTTTATGGCTATTTTGCCTATGACGACGTTGATGTTTATATTGACAACGGCACATGCGCCCTTAGTTTCTAGCGATACTTTTTTATATTACTCTACTGTGCTGAGAAAGGAAATTATCAGTCAGTAAGATCAAAGGAAAATTTCGTGAAATAGCGATAATAAAAACATCATAATAATTTCTGAATTTACAGTACCTGATATCATTGCAGTGTTATAGCTGTTGGGATAATAATATAAAAAAGTTGAATTGTATTGTTTTATTTTACCTTCTTACTCTATCTCTGCTTTGCTATTGTAACAAACCAGACAAGTATAGTGCAATGAAAGTGTTTATTCTAGTTCTTTTAAGTATTTTCCCTTATGCACAGTTCTTTGACGTATCAGACTAGGAAAACAAAGTCCTTTATATAATGAATGTGTATTATGGAATAGTTAATTGTACAATATAGAATAAGGAATCTGTATCGTAATTCAAGAAGTTGGTACAGTTATGTTATTTGTAAACAATCATGCATAACGATGTAAATTTTAACTGATTGAGCTAATAAAACATCATTTGTAAAAAAAAAATGTTTATTTATTTATCTCTGTTTCCTGTTTCTTCTTAAACTGTAAAAAAAATGGTAACTATCAATATTTGAATATTGAGACAACAGTTGTTTTTTTTTCCATTATGGACAATTTTACTTCAACTCAACCAATTTCAGAATATTTAATTTTGTCTTATGATAAGTAATAGTTAGCTGCTGTTTGATTTTGACAACTTTCAATTCGTTTTTCCATAGCCATGAAAACAAAAGATAGGTAGAAGAAAAGAAGGAAGAAAAACAAGTCAAATTAAAAGAGACAACACGATGGTCATATAAAGTAAGACAGTTCTCAAAACACTACACCAAAAACTTAGATTAAGCAACATATACACCACCAAATACCATGGTTAAACTCATGAGCTCTAGACGTATAAGTAGTTCCTACTCTACTATTGACAGCTGTCATGTTACTTATAACTTCAGCCATGAAAATATTCTTGTAATATTCTATTTTGTATATCATCTCTAGTTTGCTTTTAGCTTCTTTGCAATATAGACAACTCTAACTTTGAAATTGGGGCATTTCAGGGTACAAAAAAATGTATAATTAATAAAAATTGCTTTTAATGAATATTACAGAAACATAGATGGACAAAGGTAAGGACACTTCCAATTCCGATGAATTTCATTTCTGTCTATATTACTTCATAATCTTTATTGTATTTTCCACCTTTTATTCAGTATCCCAAGTTTGCTTAGACTCATGGTACAGTTGTTATCGATGTTATATATCTTGTGATGGTTGTTTGCGTAGCATCCAGTGGCAAATATTTCAGTGTGCATTTACATGATCTTTGTTTGATTAACATCCAGTGGCAAATATATCATGTGAATGCCTTTACTTGCTAGTTTTTCCTTTGTCCATCTGTACGTCCCAAAACTAGTTTACATTCTATAACTTAAGTTTGCCTCAACTAATTTGCCATATATTTATGAGTGGGGCATCTGTGACCAATGGACACATTCTTCATTTATTTGCTAAACATCCAGTGGGAAATATTCTATATGTATGCCTTTAAATGATTGTTGTTTGCTAAACATCCAGTGGGAAATATTCTATATGTATGCCTTTAAATGATTGTTGTTTGCTAAACATCCAGTGGGAAATATTCTATATGTATGCCTTTAAATGATTGTTGTTTGCTAAACATCCAGTGGGAAATATTCTATATGTATGCCTTTAAATGATTGTTGTTTGCTAAACATCCAGTTGGAAATATTCTATATGTATGCCTTTACATTGTGCTGTGGGCTGAACATCCATGGCAAATATGTCATGCATATAAAATTAAATGATCCTTGTTTGCATAACACCAAGTTGCAAATACTCCATGTGTGTGGCTTTACATGATCGTTTTTTGCTTAACATCCAGTGGCAAATATTCATTGTGTATGGCTTTACATGATCGTTTTTTGCTCAAAATCCAGAGGCAAATACTCCCATGTGTATGCCTTTTAAAGCTTTTTGTTTGTACTTAAAATCCAGTAGCAAGTATTCAATGTGTATGTCTTTACATAATCGTTGTTTGCTTAACATCCAGTGGCAAATATTTGATGTGTATGCCTTTACATAGTTATTGTTTGCTTAACATCCAGTGGGAAATATCAACTGTATGGTTTTACATGATCTTAGTTTGCTTAACATCCAGTTACAAATATTCCATGTGTACGCCTTTTACATGATTGTTGTTTGCTTAACACCCAGTGGCAAACATTTCATCTGTATGCTTTCAAATGATTTTTGTTGCTTTATATCTTGTGGTCGAATGGGGACATTAAATCCGATGCCTCGTGTAGAGAGAGTGCCACTCTCTCTGCGTGTAATGAACCCTTGCAACAACTCTTTGTAGGATACGGAGGTGGCCTGCTGCATGGCTTTATTTCTGTCCCTATCCAATATACCCCCACTGTCCTGAGGCATTCCAAATTTCCCGCCTTTCATCCCGGATGACCCCCTATTGCAGTACCTATCTATTGTATTAATTGTTAATTTGTTCTCGCCCTAAACATGTGTAGCAGGAGCAATTCTGCTGGAGATTCGGGGATGCGGACCACAGCTTGTTCTAGTTTGTGAACTGATTTAAACGGAGACGATGGATGCCAAATGTAAAAGCGCTATATAAATATCTATGTAAATGAAAACCAAAAACAGTGAAAATAATATATAATTTATTCAATATGTAGAACATGTATGAAATCCAAAAGTTTAGAAATGGAGCATTCAATGACTTCAATATTAACCCGTATTAAGAAGGCATATGGCAGATGCACTAACCTTAAAGGGTGATTGGGAAGCACGGCTTTCCTAGGTTGGACTGAACGTCAGTCCTCAGACAATTCAACATAATAATTTCAAACCAGTTATATAAAATATATAAGTTTCCGAAGAAGGTTATAAATGTTTTGCGACGATGCAAATACTAAACTTTAGAATATAAATAAATATCTTTAACCAATGAATTCAAAATAGCAATAGGTATTCAATTTAACAAATATATACTTAATAAGCATCATGTAAATCATTAAATAAAGAAATATGAAATTTATAGTTTTAAACAAGGGAAATAACAATGACATATTAATCCTAACTGCCACATTCCTCCCCCCTAAGACAAACGATAAATTTCATAAATAAAGTCTGCAAACTGAAATGTCTATCAAATAGATGTATCTGCCACACTAAACACGCAAAATGCAAATTTCATGTAAAATAAATATGAATAATTTGTAATGATTAAACATTAAATCTAATATATATCAGTTAAAGTTAAATAACAAGACTGTTCAATGAGACCACAACACCAGTCTGATACCCGACTCCTCCCTTCGAAAACAAATGTAAATGAAATAACATTTGAAAATTTAAATTTAACAAAAATCTATCAATGTTCACCAGATTAAATGTCTTTCAAACACATGTAATAATATCACTTAGAAATAAATGTCACTGTTAAACGCATACACAAACACACATCGGCATCAGGTTCAAAGGATAACGGACGCGACTTGAGGTCTTCTTGGTAAGTAGGCGTCAGAATCAGTGGTACGGCATATAGGGTAACGGCACATCTAACGGTTGAAATCTAACATGAAAAGTTATACCAGGTTATGTCCACCAATGTTGATCTCACAGTGGCACAGTTGACGTGTACCACCGGGTTCTATTACAGCACTCCAACGTTGTTGATAACGGTAACACAGACGTTGTGCCACCGATTGAAAGCACCATTCAGCTGAACAAAATATACTGTTTTTGATCTGCACAGCAGACCTAGACTTGTAATTTAAGATGTACCAGGTAATCTCCACCACTGTTGATCTCACAGTGGCACATTTGACGTGTACCACCGGGTCCTATTACTGCATTCCAGCGTTGTTGATAACGGTAGCACAAATGGTGTACCACCGGAGATGGATCGGGTCCATCTATATGCAAGGTTCTCAAAATAAAGTTGGACGATGCCCAACTTTTGTGCAAGTTACTAAATAATGGATCGGGTCCATCTGTATGAGCTAGAAGTGTTCCTAACTTCAAGCTTAACGTTCACTCTATTGGTTTCTGCCATAACTAATAAAAGTTAAGAAGTCAGACTTCTATAAACTCTCTAAATACTAAATATTTAGCTAGAGATGACAATCCAGACAAACGAGCATCAACTCATAAAATAAACCAATTCCAACTACAACTAGCTAACAGTCTACACTTCAAACTACACAGAAGATCAGCCATAATTCAAGTAATCAAAAATGAAAATTATAACAAGATGAGATGCACGGCATCCCTTCCTTGGAGAAAGAAAACCAAACAGCCAAATTTGAGAAGTGTAACATCTCTGAGCACATTGAAATAAGCCTAAAGTAAAACTGTATATATACAACATAATGTAAAAACAAACATTAAACAAAGGTAACACAATCTGAACTACAAAAATTGTGATTCAAATTGTTTTTTAATATCCCTTCTATTTTTGAGAATTTCACTTGACTACCTGCAGACCTTTCATCTCTAGCATGGACTCTAAGAGACATATTTGGGCACTTAGACCTGATCTGATATGACCTAACTGGTGACATTTAAAACATTTCTTAGGTTTACGTTTCCTACGTGATCTCAGTCGCCTCCTCAATATATTCATTAAAATTTCAAAATTGTTATGAACCGTATCACAACAATCTAAACTTTCTGACTCATCTGAATAGTCTCTGAATCACCAGTAAAATGAACAGCTTCATATTCAATAGCTAGTGATAAAGCCTCATCTAAACAATGAGGGTGCTTAAAAGTGACAAATTTAGTCATCTCAATATTCAAACATGATGTAAATAAGTCAGTAAAATACACATCTAAATCTGAAAAATTATCAGGATAAGCCTTATGAGCTAGTAATTTAAAACGCTGACCAAATTCAGAAATTGTTTCATTTTCCTTCAAACTACAAACTCGCAGTTGAAATTTAAAATATGCCTCCCTCTCCTTAGGATTGAACCTCTGAATGAGAACATTTTTCAAGCAGTCATAATCATACAACTGTGGCCTTTTAAAGAAACGTAAAATAGTTTGAGCATCACCTCTCAAATTCATTATTAACTGACATGCCATCTCAAATTCATTCCACTGATTCCAAAGAGAAACTGTCTCAAAATGAACAAAATAATCTGTAACATCAATGCTGACACCATCAAACAAACAAGGTTTTTCTTCAAACCTAATCATAACTAAATATACATTTACAAAATGAATCAAACTATGAAAATAAAATGTCCCAGGGACAACTATCGGCCCAACTCTTCAAAACTGGTCTGCTTAGGACTGTCATATCCAATTACAAGTACTGACTCAAATGTCTGCTCCATTTCTTATAAGTAATTTAGTTCAGTTACAAATCAGAAAAGTTGCTTTAAGATTCCGCATCCGCCTCGCGGGACCAAAATGTAGCAGGAGCAATTCTGCTGGAGATTCGGGGATGCGGACCACAGTTTTTTCTAGTTTGTGAACTGATTTAAACGGAGACGATGGATGCCAAATGTAAAAGCGCTATATAAATATCTATGTAAATGAAAACCAAAAACAGTGAAAATAATATATAATTTATTCAATATGTAGAACATCCAAAAGTTTAGTAATGGAGCATTCAATGACTTCAATATTAACCCGTATTAAGAAGGCATATGGCAGATGCACTAACCTTAAAAGGGTGATTGGATAGCACGGCTTTCCTAGATTGGATTGAACGTCAGTCCTCAGACAATTCAACATAATAATTTCAAACCACTTATATAAAATATATAAGTTTCCGAAGAAGGTTATAAATGTTTTGCAACGATGCAAATACTAAACTTTAGAATATAAATAAATATCTTTAACCAATGAATTCAAAATAGCAATAGGTATTCAATTTAACAAATATATACTTAATAAGCATCATGTAAATCATTAAATAAAGAAATATGAAATTTATAGTTTTAAACAAGGGAAATAACAATGACATAATAATCCTAACTGCCACACATGCATGAAATATTTGTCACTGAATGTTAATCAAACGACAATCTTCAATTACTATAAAAAAAGTAGTTTGAATAGAATGTTGTTAAGTTAAAATTACGCACCAAACAAATAATGACACTAGGGTATTTCGAACTATATTTCCCGTAGCTATACATGCTATAATCATATTTATACTATGTGCAAGCGAAATATTTCTATTTGCCATTCTTGTGTATGCTCTTCTGTTAAATTTTGCCTTTCGAGCGCACCAAATGGTGTCGATCTTACACACACACTTATTCCATAAGCAAGCAGTTTATAATATTTTAAGGTTGTGTTGGCATGGACAAAACATTTTATATACATTAAAAGCTAAAATAATAAAGATATTTCATAAATATCTGTAAATTAAAAAAATAACTAGAAAAGGGATGTTCCTTGTCCCAAGCGCCTGTGTTCCAAACCGACACCACTATTTCACTATCCCTTATTCAATCATTTAGAGATGAAGTTCATTTGAAAAAAAAGTACTCGACATGTAAAGATAAATTTTAGACAAAATGTTCATCACTACATATTACTATTGAAGAAAATATTATACAATATTGCCGCTTTTACACGTTTTTTTTAATTGCATCCAATTACAAAACCAAAAGTCATCCTCAACCAAACTTAATCAAATCGTACCAGAAAGGCAATTGAATGTGTCTGATGTTAAAGGCATTCACGTCCTAAACCTTCTTAACGCCATAAAGTAAACCTCATTCTATATCTAAACATTTGATCCAATGATATTAGAAAATACAAAATATAGGCAACAATTTTCGGAACCACGTTAAAATAACTTATTAAACATGTTCCGTTTCAACATTAATGTGACTTATGATCATTAGTATGATTTTTCTAAAGCTAATTGCACTGATCTACAAAAGATTATGAACCGCAGTGCTACAGATTCCAAATGAACACAAAAGAAAAAGACAAACCAAAACCTTGTTGCAAACACTTTTGAGCATGTTTGTATAATGAGATACACGTAGAAGTAGTTTACATAACAGAATACACGTCGTACACATTAATGAAGAGCCCATATGTTAAATCCAATATCAGAAAATATATGGGTATTTTATTGGATGAATGCAAACAAATATTCTAATAAAACTGTCCAAGACTATTGACGAATCTCGTTGGAAGCCAGAAACTGACAAGAACCGTTACATTGAAATAATTGGATATCTTCACTGTATAAGGTATGTATTTACTATTATTATTATCATCATCATAGATGTTTACGTATGTTTCAGCAAACTTGCATTTAAATTTTCTCTGTCTAATGTGGAGGAAGTAAACTTTTTTTTTATCATGGCTCATTCTAATGATAACACGTATATGTTCTTGTCAAACTGTCATAAAAGTGAGAGGTTTAGCTAGCTATAAAACCAGGTTTAATCCACCATTTTCTACATAAGGAAATTCCTGTGCCAAGTCAGGAGTATGACAGCTGTTTTCCATTCGTTTGATGTGCTTGAGCTTTTGGTTTTACCATTTGATAAAGGACTCCGTTTTGAATTTTCCTCGGAGTTCGGTATTTTTTTTAATTTTACATTATGGCTGTTTGCACTTTTTATACTGACTAGAATCTACATAATCTGAACATGGAAAAACACATTTTATACGAATTCTTTTTGGACTTATAGAGAGCGTATTAATTCTTATAGAATAGAGAATGGAAACGGGGAATGTGTCAAAGAGACAACAACCCGACCAAAGAGCACAAAGTCACCAATGGGTCTTCAACGCATCGGGAAAGTCCCGCACTGCAGGATGTGGGTTTAAGCTGGCCCCTACTGAAAAATAATGTAAACTAGTTCAGCGAAATGGACACCACACTAAACTCCGAAACATACAAATGAACCAAAATAGATATAAAAAAACACACACTAGCTTAACAAAGGCTAGTGGTTCCTGACTAGGAACATACAGCGGGATTAAAAATGTTTTGTGTTTTGTGAGATCTCAACCCTCCTCCTACACCTCTAGCCAATGTGGGATAAACAAACTCAAAGTAATACGCACAGTAAAACTCAGTTTAAAAGAAGTCCGAGTCGGATGTTAGAATAAGCAACATGACAATGATCAACATACATTAATAAATAATAAAGGACTTGTAGTAGTTATTGACAAGCCAGCTCCAGGCGTCACTGAATTAAGCTGATCGAAAAAAACTATGTCTTCATCGTATGCATATTAGTGTACATATGCATTCACTGAGTTTACAACTCTTCTTGTTCGGCATAGAAGTACATCAGACGTTTGTCCCATTCGATACTTACATAAAATAGAATCTTCTTGACCATATACTAATTGCGGTTAATTAAACTTTAGGCCTAATCAGGTTCTTTTTAGATTGTTTGTGGCTGTCAATCAATCTTTAATGTATCTTTTTCCAATTTATGAATACTAGTACCTACATGTATGTTCTTTCTAGGGAATTTCAGTACATTAAAGTAACTTTCTTTCACAATGAGGATATGTTTACTTGAACAGAGATCTCAGTTTGCTGTTTCAATATTTTACGGATGGTTATAATATAACTATAAAACGTGCGAAGGTACAGTAATAAAAATTTAGTATGAGACAGGAAGCTGTGGAACTCCTTGCCAAATGAGACAAGGAGACTATCAATTTTTTTGTCAGTTCAAAATTGTATCTCTACCTGGGTTTTTTTCCTGCTGGAAATTTACGGTACCATGATGTATTTGCAATTATGGTGTCATTATTTTTCTTCACCGGCTGCCTCAGACTTGAACTTTGACGGAGCCTGCTATGTGACTGAGTTTTTTTTTGTGATTTTTTTTCAATTATTTAATGAACGGCTATTATTTATTTTGAATTTATTGAACCATAAACTAATTTTTGACTCTTCACATTTTACATAATCCGCGAAGTCAAAAATTAATTTTATGGTTCAATAAATTCAAAATAATAAATTTCTATCAAACATAAGGCTCAAAGAGCTTTTTATATTATTTATATTAACAATAACGACGTACATATATGTACACATGTTGGCGTATGAATATACAACGTCAGAGTGGGCGTGTCGCCATAAAAATTGACAACATGTAATACTTTTAACCAATCAGAAGACAGTAAATACACCAAATTTATTTATTAAAGTTTGATATTTAATAATCTTTTGTCTTTAGCTATAATCAATAAGCTTTATTACTAGTTTTGTCTATGCATAAAATGTCACTACCATTAATTTTTGCACGTTCTTGGTTTTATTGAAAATTTCTGCTATGTTCTGCTGGTATGTGTTTTATATGTATTTTTTGCATTGGTTTTGCATGTGTTTATCCAGAGACTACTATAACACAGTGTAATAGTAGTCTCAGGTTTATCATAATAATAAGTTGCTGCTTTAATTGTATTGCTTGCATATGTTTTATGGATTTGCTGCTACGCTATGGAATTATGTGTTTTAATTTGTCAGTCGTTTATAAGACTTAGAGTTCTAAGTTAAAGATCTTTGTTATTGTGTGAATATACGAATTTTAAAAAAGATAACTAATCAAGGCAAATTACCTTATAATAAAATAAGATCGGAGGCTGTAGGTCATAAATTGTACATATCTGATTATCAATTACGTCCCCTAGTAAAGAACAATAACTCCAAATTATTTTTGCGGGAAAAGGAACGACGAGTTGAAAAGACAGATCATTGGAAATAGGTTACCAAATACAGATTTAACAGGAATGGAAATTCACAGGGGTCCAGTAGTATATGGCCCCTAGAATTTGAGCAGGGCTGCTTAAGTTTCACCATTTTTGATAGATCTTAAAACACTGGGGTAGCACTTGAAATTTTAATTTCCATCCCTGTTAAGGCTGTTTGACATGATGTTTATTCTGTTTTCATTCTATTTTCATTAAATGTTAAGACATGCTTGAAGAGAATCAAACCAATTTATAAACCTGCAAATCATTGAAGCAGATACAGATAATTTTATTAACCAATCTGAATCAAGGTGCCCTTTGACAAAAATGTTTGAAGAGCAGGTTATTCCTAACAATAACATATAGTAAACAAACTAAACAATAAACTAATTAGACTATAATGGTTCATTAGAGTAATAATTGTATTGATTGTATAAGAGTAGAGAAAAAAAATGTCAACATTAATGCACATATATATATATATTTTTATATTGAGGATATCCTGCTAGATTTGAACAAGGAGAGACAACTCTATCATTCTAATATTTCATATGTGGGTTTGATGGTTACAAGAGTGCAATTATTCGTAATGCATTTTCCATAGGGTACCAGTGGTGTTCCGTATTTTTTTCTCAAAGACTACACAAACTAGGGAAAAACGGGTAGCAGTTCCTGTTACTAGAAATGCCAGTGTTGCATTACAACCAAAAAAAATATATATGGTCATGGGTATCCGGTCGTTCCGTCCCCAAACCGATCCGGCCCCAAGTCGATCCGGCCCAAAGTCGATCCGTCCCAAGTCGATCCGGCCCACGTCGATCCGTCCCTACGTCGATCCGGCCCCATAATAAAATATGAATAAACTATATTGACTTTGGAGGATTTTGTAACAAATTTTAACAGTATTTATTTAAATGGAATTTGTAAAAATGATGGATGACAACAGGTAAGTGAAGTATTGGAGTACCAGTCAAAGAATTATTTTAAATCGATACGAAAATGAGTGTGATTGTGTCTGTTTATATAGCAGCGTCAACATATTAATATAAAGTTATTTTCCATGATAACTTTGAACGTCATGGCGATTTTTATTTTATTTAATTCACACACAGAAAAGCTTAATAAATATTTACAGTCCAATGGAACCTATAAAATTTAACTCATCATATTGACTTGTTTTATCAAATCATTAGTCTATAATTGGTTTGTTTATTCAACAATTGTCTAATGATTGTGAACTAAGGTAATGCCACTCGTGATCACTTAATTCAATCAAATCCTGATTGATTAAAGTTACGTAATCACTGGTCTTTATAGTTTGATCTTTTGTTTGGTGTTATGTGTTATAATAATTAATTGTATTTTTTTTCAGGTAACATAAGAGGCTTCTATAACACGTTTTTTTTTTTGTAATATTGAATATAGTCAATATATTTTTTTTAAGTTGACAATATTTTGAATAGTTGTGTGTAGATAAAAAACAAGTTATATGAGTATCCATTATTCTTTATTGTAAGATAATAACAAAATAATTACACTCGATGCACGTGAAGATCACATCTATTTCTTCATTTACCATGCGTCTGTATTCCAGCAGAGATACTCCTATATATATTAAAAGCAAACGCATTCTGTCTCCTCTTTTATAGAAAGGATTCGGCAAATCAAACATTTCTTTTAAGAACTTAAAACAAAAAATAAAGTTTGTATGTATCAGCTTGGGGATCGGCTTGTACCGTTGTGTATGTAACTATTTGTTATTACAAAGGATCACAGTCAATTGAAAGAAAATGCTAATTACTGCTGATTAATGTTGATTATAATTATACCCAATAATCTTGAAAACTTGTAATGAAAACATAATCAACATAGTTGTTTTAAACTCTTTTAAAGAAAATATTTGTCAAAGGCCAATTTTTTTTACCGTACACCTTTTACATCATAATAAAATTCATAAACATTTATGAATTACAATTAATATATATCTTTATTTTTAATCCTCATAAATATATTTTTTTATTGGGCCGGATTGACTTTAAATATGGGTCGGATCGACGTTGGGCCGGATCGACGTGGGACGGATCGACTTGGGCCGGATCGACGTGGGGCCGGATCGACATGAAACCTGGTCATGCGGCAAAAAATGACTTAAAATGCAGTTGAAAAAGATTGTCTATTTTTTTCGCTTATTGAAAAAGGCATATTTTTAATGGCCCGACGTGCAGAAATGGAAGATATTTTCTATACTTTGCAAAATGTGAATTTGATTTTCTGGATTTTAAACCTAATTGGATAAGCTTTCAATTAAAAGTAATTCCAATTCTGTATCATCCAATCAGAAGCTGTACAGGATTCTATTCTGAGTACCATCTTGTGGTAAAAAACTTGCCGGTAAAATGTAAACAAATAATTGCGCTCTTGTAACCTGATTTAGTAATGTATCCCGATTTTCTGTTATTTTAGATATCATATTTAGTACAAGTTTTAAAACATAACTTTCTTCATTTATATTAGTCATTATTAAACCATCAAAATTTATTCTCTGAAGAAAGCTTGATAAGATTTTTGTCTCGCCTGCGACGAAAGTCGCAGAAAGTGAGACATAGGTATTACTATCCGGCGGCGGCGACGGCGGCGTAAACTATTTGTATAAAGCTTTATATTTCAGAAGGTAGAAGACCTGGATGCTTCATACTTTGTATGCAGATACCTTATGTTACGAACTTTCTGTCTGTCATATGTCCAATGTCCTTGACCTTATTTTCATGGTTCAGCGACTGCTTGAAAAAAAAGTTTAGTTTTTTTGTTATGTAAATTTCTCACTTATTATGAGTAATAGGATAACTGTATATGGGTTCCTTGCAACGTCTACATGTCCATCAGACAGGGTTCACCTGACCTCAGCCTCATTTCATGGATCAGTGATCAAGGTTAAAGTTACGTGATTAGGTCCGTTTCTCAGATACTACAAGCAGTAGGTCAGCTATATGTGGTGTATGGAATGATTATAAGGGATACATGTCAGTCTGGCAGGTTTCATCTGACCTTGACCTCATTTTCACGGTTCATTGGTCAATGTTAAGTTTTTGTGTTTTGGTCTGTTTTTCTAATACTATAAGCCATTGGTCAACTATAGTTGGTGTATGGAATGATTGTAAGGTGTACATGTCTGTCTGGCAGGTGTCATTTGTCCTTGACCTATTTTCATGGTTCATTGGTCAATGTTAAGTTTTTGTGTTTTGGTCTGTTTTTCTTATACTGTATGCAATAGGTCAACTATATTTGGTGTATGGAATGATTGTAAGGTGTACATGTCCAACTGGCAGGTGTCATCTGAACTTGACCTCATTTTCATGGTTCAGTGGTCAAAGTTAAGTTTTTGAGTTTGGTCTTTTTTTCTAATACTATATGCAATAGGTCAACTATATTTGGTGTATGGAAATATTTTATGATGCACATGTCAGTCTCGCAGGCTTTATTTGACCTTGACCTCATTTTCACGGTTCATTGCTCAGTGTTAAGTTTTTGTGTTTTGGTCTGTTTTTCTTAAACTATAAGCAATAGGTCAACTATATTTTTTGTATAGGATTGTAAGCTGTATATGTCTGTCTGGCAGGTATCATCTGACCTTGACCTCATTTTGTTGGTTCATTGGTCAATGTTAAGTTTTCATGGTTAAGTTTGTTTCTTGGATACTATAAGCAATAGGTCAACTATATTTAATGCATAGGTTGATTGTAAGGTGTATATGTCTGCCTTGCATGGTTCATCTGACCTTGACCTCATTTTCATGGTTCATTGGTCAATGTTTAGTTTTCTTGGTTAAGTCTGTTTCTTAGAAACTATAAGCAATAGGTCAACTATATTTAGTGTATTGAATGCATGTAAGGTTGATAGTTGTAGTAAAGCTTAATATTTAGGACTATCAACATAATATCAATGGTTAGTAAAGAAGGCGAGACATTTCAGCGTGTGCACTCTTGTTATATTTTTTGAAATTAAACCTGCCATCTGTCATATTATGTTGGCACTGGCTGTGATTGTCACAAAAAGTAACAATAAGGAAATAATATTGTTACTTCCGAGACTAATTGCCGAAATGTTTTTCCGAACAGGGTCGATTTCATATGGAAATTGAAGGTGAAGGTAATATTACTTGTTACCTGCAAAATATATTCAGGCAGGCACTGATCTAAAAAAAATGTTTGATTTGCAGGCGATTTGAGAAATTGATAAAACAATGAAAATGTGATGTAAAAATCAATTTAAAAAACTGACTATTATTATTCAGAGGAACAATTTGCTCCAGTTAAGAAATTTCCTACGAATTTTACTTGACAAGATTATTAATCTCATTCTGATCAAAAGATAATTTCCTATGAGTCTTGGAAAATGCTAAAAAAATAAACCAAGATATTGCTGAAGAAGGACACGGTAGAATGGAACTGTTTATTGTGCGGAATAGACATGCATATATATGGATCTATAGTTTGGGACGGATGTCTTGAGTAAAACCACCTGAAATGTGTTTGCCTCAAATTGCAACCTAAGGATCCATACTAGATATGCAGGAATTGCCACCAAATGAATAGCTTAAAGAATTCTAAATATTTGAAAATGTGCTATCGATTTGTCATTGCTATGTTCAATGAATAATTTCTATTCATATAACTTTGTTCAAATATGTAAAACAATGTATTGGGGGAAGACAGTACAGAGTATCTTGATGTTGCACACAAAAAAGAAAATTTGCAAATGTGAAATTTTGCAGGTAAAAATAAATGCAGGTATAAAAAAAAATGATATTACCTGCAATTTTTGTATGAAATCAGGTTCCTGTCCAGAAATACATTCGGCAATTAGTCTCGGAAGTAACAATAATAATTTCTTATTGTTACTTTTTGTGTGTAATCATAGCCAGTGCCTATTATGTTTGCTTGAACAGGTTGGAGAACGGTACCACGATTTCCTGAGAACTGAATACTGACCCGAGAACCTTTTATACTTATAAACTTTTATACTTAGACAGTATAACACCATTTGAAATAAAGATTTCGGGTAACACATATTGGTTCTCAGGTCAATATTCAGTTCTTGGGAGTTCTCGGGAAATCGGGGTAGAAGATCCTCGTAAATGGGTATTATACCCATTTATGGGTATTAACCCAAAATCAGGTATCTATTTACAATGATAAAAAATGTTATTCTTGATTTTAGGATTTTGGATACTATGGCGCATATGATGATGTAAAAGGCAACACTCATATCTATAAGTATTATAATTATCTCTAATGTATGGAAAAAGTCACAGGAAAATTGCTTGAAATTGTAGGTAGTAAATAATATCAACTGAATAGTGGTTCAGAATATTTCAACATCTTTTAATGTTAGGATACAGGGATATGGTATTTCAATGTTTGTGTTTATTGTAATTTAATGAATTTTCCAAGATTAAAACAAAATGTAGAACATAAAAATGTCTAGTTCTTAAATCTATTCAAAAGATGGTTATTTAACTAATTAAATGGCTTCAATTGACTATTTACATTTCCGTCAATCATCTACTATCTGGACCATTAACACTTAAAACCTTTAAAAATATATACTTTTTTTGATTAATGATATCTCATTTATTTACCATTGAAAGTTCTGTATAACTTTAAAGAAAAAGAAAAGCAATGAAATACTATTAAATGTGTACAAAAATGGACATTATTTCCTATCAGATTTGTGACTTTTTCCCTACATTTACCAAAAGTATGACTTTTTTCTGTGACCTTTTTCCTTCCAAATTTGTCACTTTTTTTCCTGTGACTTTTTTTCTGTTTACCGTCGTATATTAAATGTGAACTTTTATGATAAGGTCATTATAAAAATTGAAAAAAAAAGGTTAAATTGTTATTTTCAACAGCTGTGATTTTTTTTCCAGATACTCTTGTGAAGATATGACAGATAAAACTCTGCAAGAGGTATGTTACAAATTAAAGTATATCATATAAAATATTATTGGGAAAATACATGTAGATAACTTGACATTCCTAATGTAATGAACCATAGAACTAGAAAAGTAAAAATTAAAAACCAATTATTCTGAGAACAATTGAAGGTCTTTCCACAGCAATTTTAAAATTTATTAAAAAGAAGCTAGTTCGTGTTTACTCAAAGTTAAAATTGGCATCTTATCATCAGTTTCTTCATACTGATGCGATAAATAAGTGGTTTCTATATACTTCTGAGTGAAATAAGGGAGATAATTAGCTACTTCCGGTGAAGTAAATGTCACTTGGTCTCATATAATAGTTTCTTTCACACTGATTCCAAAAATATATAGTTTCTATATACTTTTGCTTGTAAACCAGGAGATAATTGACAACTTCCGGTTTATCGAAAGTCGTTTCTAGTCTTCAATGATAAGTTAATGTATCAAAATTACAAAATATATGGATTCCGAGTACATTCCGTCAAGAAAATGCAAAAATGGCTACTTCCGGTTTTCTCAAGGTCACTTCCGGTTGTAATTTTTCAAGGTCATATGTCATCCAACCTTTTGTAAAAGGTCATATGGCTTTTTAATGAACCAAGTTGAAGTAATAACCAATTAACCTTATAATTGGACATTTCAGGGGCACTAAATCCTATAAGATGCCATTAGATTGTTTCAGACCAAATGTAACATATCTTCATTACAATAAAGCAAACATTTTGCACTTGTTGTTTCATATATATCTTTAAAAGTGTTTCAGAAAATGCAAAAACAAGGAAAAGTCAAAATTGAGAACTTGACCTTGACCTTTGACCTTGACCTCATTTTCTAAGTTAGGACCTAAGGACCTCATATAAAAAGATTCCAGGTAACGGTTTATGAGTTAAAAAAACATACCAACAAATTTATTTGGTAAAGGTAGATAACTCCTTTAAAATTTCATCGAATTGCTTCAATCCAAATAAGCCAAAAATTCTTGAGGATGTAACGAACAATTAAGAAAAAGAATTTTGTCGATATCTTTTTTTGTTACGAAAGGAGATGCACACACTTGATTAACAGTGAATAGGGAGATAACTCTTACAAAGAAAATTATTCGGCTTAGAAAGGGTGAAAATAAAAAACGCTTAAACTGTATGATACTATATAAGAAATATCTTAGCGACATATTGCGAAACAAAAATTTTACGCGATAACAAAATTTGGCGGAAGAAAAAAATAATAATCAGAACAAATACAATAGGTCTTTCCACAGAAAAGTGGAAAGACCTAATAAAAGCAATTAAGGCTTATAGAAAGGCATAACAGGCGCATGCTAGCCATTTTTAAAAGGGGGGTTCTAACACATGCAAGTCATATAAAAAGGGTGGGTTCCAATCATATGTCCCCATGTAAAAGCATTAGTTGTCAAACAAAAAAAGGATGGGTTCCAATCCCCAGAACACCCCCTGGATCCGCCACTGCATAAGCATATAAAGTACATTAAATATCCTGGGAACTTTGAAATTTGATCATATTGCCTCCATTCACATTCAAAACTGTTCAAAGTACCAAAATAGAAACTGAAAATTAAAAAGTCCTTGGCAAAATAAAAAAATATCAAATTCAAAAGAAGTGTATACATGCTAATTTAATAATAATGCATAATTAATAAGAATAAGAAGAATGCATTGCTCTATTTATTAATTACGGTTATTCAGCATTTCTATGGTGATGATTAGACCAGAGAGGGAGGGAAAAAAAATCCAGACAGAACTGTTGTTTATATTATTTCTTTCCCATTTTCAGGGTAACAAGTTATGGGGAGGCAGATTTACTGGAGAGACTGATCCTATCATGGAGAAGTTTAATGCCTCCATATCATATGACAAGAGAATGTGGCAAGCAGATTTAAAGGTATGGACAGAAGGCTAAGGAAAGCATACTTTGATTTTGCAGGAAGGACTAGAAATAGTGGTTATTCTGGTTTTCTTGAATTTCAAACTGATCCCAGATTCTATTCTATTTTGCTAACCAACAGGACAAACTATTAACCAACTCGTCTGGTCTCTTTGTTAATTCATTCCATCAAACCAAGACAGATTGACTGCAAAATAGATGATTAAATACCTAGTTGTAATTTAAAGCAGTCTGCATATGCATATGTTTATTAATATGTGTATAAATATACTGTAAACCAGGAAATTTTTGCACAGTCTTTTTTCCATGATATACCAACAAAAACTAAATTCCTGTCGATTTGAATTGGTTATACTCCTATGTCATATGTAAAATCTACATAAATGATTTGGAAAAGGTACAGTGGTTCATGTATCTTAATCAGGTGATAAAATCAATCAGAAATCCTTTTTCGTCTCTGAAGAAAGTAATCAATTTGCGTCGGTTCATGAATGTAATACACAATAAACAGAGAAGAAAAAAATATTTATACCATTGTAGGGTAGTATGGCTTATGTGAAGGCTACATGTAAAGCAGGACTACTATCAGAGACAGAAAGAGACCTCATTCTCAAAGGATTAGAACAGGTTCAGTTATTTTTGTGCATAGTAAAAAATAGCAACAGTCTGCAGATTAAAATTAAAACAATATGGAGGAATCATCTATATTTAATGATATTTTGGTATTTAAATGGTAGTAATAACAAATATACTTATAAAGTATCAAATGTTTGAATGTCTGTTCTTAAAGATGAAAGTCAGTTGTGGTGATAATAGTTCACAATATTAAATTGTGATGTATTGAAAAGGATTTTTCAATGTTATTACAAAGCATGTAACAAGTATAAATAAGAAGATGTGGTATGAGTGCCAATGAGAGAACTCTCCATCCAAGTCACAATGTGTAAAAAGTAAACAATTATTGGTCAAAGTAAGGCCTTCAACACAGAGCCTTGGCTCACTGAACAGCAAGCTATAAAGGGCCCAAAAAAGACTAGTGTAATACAATTCAAACAGGAAAACCAACGGTCTAATCTATATAAAAAACGAGAAATGGGAAACACTTATGACCCACACCAACAAGCGACAGCCACTGAACAACAGGCTCCTGACTTAGGACAGGTGCATAAAAATGCAGCGGGTTTAAACGTTTTAACAGGCGCCAACCTTCACCCTAACCTGAAACAGTGGTATAACATTACAACATAAAAAGAACACAATAAAATATCAATTGAAATGACTTAACTCGATCAAAAAGACAATACACAAAAACAAGTAAATATACTCTGAACGAATAAGTTTGATCTATGACACAATATAAATAAAAAAGATGTTTCATTGTCAAAAAAAACAACTTTAAACTAGGACAAAATGGTGTTAAATAAAGTAACGTACACAGGTAAATTTAAATATAATAATTTTGTTGTAAGAAGTAGAGAAACATTTTTTACAAAATAAATTTGTTATTCATAGTACAAAGTTTATTTGACATTATTGTAAAAAACTTTTAGTTGGAATTTGTGATTTATCAAAATTATTCATTCTAGTAACCAACATAATAGATATTTCCCCATAGTTTGTATTGTGCAAAATTTGAAATTTAGAAGAGGAAAGAAACATGAATCTATACTATTTTTACCAAAATAAAAAACCCTGAAAGTTGCATATAAAAGTAGGCTTACAGTATTTGAAATTGGTTTAACTGGAAGATACACATACAGAAATGTAAAACTATATGTAAATAATGTTGGTTTTCTTCTTGTCAAATTCAAATTCGATAAATCAGCTTGCCTCACCTTTGCAAGACCTTTTTCTGACTGAAGTAAACTTAAGTGTTTCTAAGTCTCTTATAAATGTTTAAGAATTGTTCAGACCACCCTTAACAAATTCTTTTTTTGATGTTGCCTACCCATGCTGTGTAGGGTTGGGTAGGTAGGTAGGTAGGGATTTTGTTTTTGTTTTGTTTTTTTTTGGCCAACAACATAAATTACAATTTAGACAAGAAAACATTGTAAGAGCAGGAAAAGATCTTTAATAAAAAAATAGTTTGAAATGGTTTGTGTCATAAATTTTTTGGGGTTGGCTTTTTAAGTGTGTAGGTAGGCAACATCAAACAATTTAAATTTTATTTTTGGCGTCCCATGAGAGCAAACACAGCTATATTAAGTATGTAGGTATGTAGCAAAGTAAATTTAAATGTTAAATTATTTTTCAAACGAATTTATATTTATAATAGGTATACAGTAAGTGGGAAGATGGAAGCTTCATCATAAAACCTGGTGATGAAGATATACATACAGCAAATGAAAGGATGCTAAAGGTAGTAAATCCACATACATTGATTGCAGTCAGTAATGACAGATTTGTTAGGTAGTGTTTTCATATGTCCATGGATGCCAACTCCTGTAAAGAGGCATCTTAGCAAGATTTTTAAATTTTGACTATGTCACCCTTCATCCATGGAAAACATCTATTTTGATGTTTTTTTTAGGTGAACTGTGTCATTGTTACAGGTTTGATCTTTTCTTATTTAGTCACTAACTTTTCATGAATAGAATCAGCAAGTTGTATTTTTCTTACATACATTTTATATCTAGTCTGGAATTTTTTTCATACAATTTCTGATTTTCAAAATACATTTATTTGTTATAAGAGAATTGATGCAGGAACTTTGGGAGGGTTGAAGTGATCAATTGTGATTTTTTTTCTCCCAATATCTTTAATTGGGAAGCAAAGAGATAATTGTCAATGTAAAAACTTAGGTTGTTTTACAAGAGCTGATTGGTCTGGTCACTTGGTAGCTACACACTGGATTAAGTTGTAATGACTAGGGGTAAATGTAAACTATAAAGTTGTTTTGCAGGAGTTAATTGGTCCAGTGGCTGGGAAACTACACACAGGGCGTAGCCGTAATGACCAGGTGGCTACAGATATGAGACTATGGTTATCTGATGCATCTAAATCATTGAAGTCCTTACTTATCCAGTTAATATCTGTTTTTGTTGAAAGAGCGAAAAAGTAAGTTATTAATTATTATATACATGTATGATGTCAGTACTTAATACTTTTATATATTAAAAAGGATGTGACTTTAAGGATTAAAACGTTTTCATGTGATTGTGTTTTGCTCAAATTAATGTTTGCACTTTAACAAATTTTGAAATGTTTAAGGAAATTTGAATTCTTTCATGATTTCCAAAGTAGATTTTCAAAGAAAAGGAAATGATGGATAATACCACTTGTTTTATTTTGACAGTGAAATAGATGTATTGTTACCAGGATACACACATCTACAAAGAGCTCAGCCAATCAGATGGAGCCATTGGTTACTAAGGTGCATAACATTATCATGGAATATTTGATTGTTAATTGTTTTATTTTAAAAGCTGTTTCAAGCCTTATTTTTATATGCCCGTCAAAATTTTAGACGGGACGTATTATGGTATACAAATGTCCAGCGTCCGTCTGTCCGGCGTCCACATGTCGCACCGTAACTTGAGAACGACTTATCCAAATTTCATGAAACTTTACATAGTTGTTTCTTATGATGGTCAAACGATCTGTATACTTTTTGGTGAAAATAAGATTAAAACTTTTTGAGTTACGGGACTTTGTAACTAAAACAGGGGGATGTTTTTTTCACGTCGTGCCGTATCTCAAAAACGATTTATGTTTATGATTATTGCTTAAAACTTTACACACTACTTAGTTGTATTAATCTAAAGATTTGTATACTTTTTGGTGATAATCAAAATTTTATTTTAGAGTTATTGAGTTTTTTGTAAAAAAAGGGGGGGTTCACATGTCGCGCCGTATCTCAAAAACGATTTATGGTTATTGCTTAAAACTTTACACACTTCTTAATTATATTAATCTAAAGATCTGTATACTTTTTGGTGATGATTCAAAATTTATTTTAGAGTTATTGATTTTTTTATAAAAAAAGGGGGGTTTTCACATGTCGCGCCGTATCTCAGAAACGATTTATGATTATTGCATAAAACCTCACACACAAGACGACGGGCGTATCATGGGCTCGTGGCGCAGCTGTTTATTTATATTTGAAAAAAACTTTATATTTTATTGTGATTGTCCATGCCCATGAAGGATTGACCTGGTACAACTAAAATGTTCACTGAGATTAAAATACTGTTAATTCAGAAATTATTGCGTGCATTTATTATGGCTATTTTTTTAAGAATAGACAAAAATGCGAGAATAATTATTGCGATTTCAGGAAAATCTACAGATATATGTATAAGATATCACAATTCAAGTTCTTATTACTGCGATACTCACCTAGTCACATTATTTGCATTAATAAAACCTCACAATAATTTCTGAATTTACAATAGAAATTTGCATCACTATGTCTCATGCTTTTATGCTGTTTGAACAGAAACAAAAATAGTACTATTAGTAAAGGGTCTCAATGTTTTTTAGCCTTTTGATAACTTTATGAAACTTTGTGAAAATTTTGTAATGATCTCACAGCAAAAGAAACAAGTTATTGGACCAGATTTATTCACTTGTGGTGTTTTTGTAAAACTGTTGATAATTCTATTTGGATTACATTCACACACATTCAATCATTCTGACTTTACCTTAAAGACCAAACAGCCTATTGTTTATGCGCATCAACTAACGCAACTTGGTAGTGACATAAAAGCTCTATGACGTTGTTTCTAGCAATGAGAAAACGTCAAATTATAACGTCCTATTTCGCGTTTTTCACGGATTCCAACATGGTGTACGCTTTAAAAAAATACGTCTTCCCGGCAAGAAAAGAGGAATTAAGTGTCGCGCTGATATCTAGTGGAAATTAAACACAAATGGACACAAATGAAACTACACTATATTTAACCTTCGTTCTAATAAAAATGATAAAATATAAATTTTGAACTCGACTTTTTGCATTTACCCCGATCTGCATTTCATTTTTATTTTCTTTCACTTGCGTAGATTTTGTCTTTCATTTGCGCCGATTGTGTACAGGTAAATTATAGGTGAAAGTTATTGTTATGCCCCATTTATTATGCCCAATTTATGGGCATTATGTTTTCTGGTTTGTGCGTCCGTTCGTTCGTCCGTCTGTCCCGCTTCAGGTTAAAGTTTTTGGTTAAAGTATTTGGTTAAGGTAGTTTTTGATGAAGTTGAAGTCCTATCAACTTGAAACTTAGTACACATGCTTCTTATGATATGATCCTTCTAATTTAATGCCAAATTAGAGTTTTGACCACAATTTCACGGTCCACTGAACATAGAAAGTGATAGTGCGATTGGGGCATCCGTATACTATGGACACATTCTTGTTTAATTTATCATGTAAACCTCTTTTGTCAGCCAGTTGTACATATGTTATGAATTATTTTAAAGCACCCCAATAAGATCACTAAAAACGTAAAACAATGAATTATTATCTGTTCTTGCCGAGTATTTATATGCCACACATCTGCTTCTTGTCATTTCATCTGTTCTATACTTGTTGTACTTGCCAACAACGAAGTTCATCTTTTTCTTGCTTTTTTTTTCAACTTTCTCGTGTCAAAACGAAGTTCACGAACAATATGACCAAAATTATCTTAAAACATAAGGAAACACTGTTTATTTCCATATATTACCAGTATAAATTCTAGGTTTACTACATGTACAGTGTACATATATTTACTCGTAAATTAAATATAGTATCGGGCTAGTGATAACAAAATATAATAGGCGCTATTGAAGGAATCAAATCGGCGCAAATGAAAGATCGATTTTTTTTTAAATCGGCGCAAATCTCGTACGCCTGTGTATCTTTACACTGGTAAATTTTAATGTCTTAAGCTTATAATTTGAACTTATGTGATTTTCAAATTGAGTATTCAGAAGGTTAGGCCGATAAACAATAATTTCTAGAAGTTTTGACATACTGGCAACGTATGCATGTAACTTATTTCTTGACGATTCTCGTAAAATAATGTCCGATCTTGCAATTTATTTATACTGCTAAATTGACAAAATCTTATGACAAAGGTTCATTGTCGTTTGTCATTTGTTTCATTTCAAAAAAGGAGAAATGATAAAGATTTCGCCTGATCTCACTGAAGCTTACAGCTAATTTACTAATGTATGTAGAGCAACACTTTGGTTAGCTTGCTTGCCTTGTTTATATATTTTTTATAATTATATTGGGATAACGTCCAATTGAATTTAAATATCATATATACAGTTTTACATACCTATATATGAAGATGTCACTCTTAATTACAAAGCTTGAATAAACATTTATACAAACAAATCAAGGAAGCCAACCAAAGCTTTACTCTACAAGCATTAGGAAATAAGCTGTAAGGCAAAACATATTAATAAAATTAATACTCAGCAAATGTGAATTAAAATAAAATATTCGGTGTTGTAAATTTAACTAATGACAAAAACAATTGCTCCAAGAATAATATCCAACATAAAATTTCTCACTTTCTTTAAGCTACAATGACCTGATAGATTAAAAACAAATTTCGATTTTTCAATGCCGGCAACAACCTTGTCTTTGTTTTAATTCCCAAAATAAGCAATTTAGATTCATAATATTTTATCCTGTTATGAGAAATCTTACATTGTAGTTTTTAACGGAAAATTATTTCTAAATTAATTTTTGAATTGAAAACTTTTTGTATTTTATATTTACTGTCTCGTTTATTCAAAACACGCGAGGTAGTAATAACAGGGATTGTATTTTATGATAGGCTAAATGGATGTATAACGTTTTAGAATCAAAAACTTTAATTCATATATTATACCTATAATTTTAATTTCCTCAGTATATCTTAAATATTCAGAAATAATGAATTCACAAACTAGATGGAATAATTTCTATACGTTCGTCTTAGTCGGGAAAAATAATGGTATTAAGAAGTCCGTCCATGCTTATGTTTGACCGTCTGTCAACAGTAGCGAATGAGTGCGTTAGAGCAAACTTCTCAAATAGTCTGTAAGTTAGCCAGTGCAATAATTTTGCTAATGAGGGGCAGAGGACAAAAACAGACTTTCCTAACAAAAGCGGCGTAAAAAGTTATTTCAAATAGTTTTTCATTCCGACGTATGGTGATTCTGAAGGTTAATAATGTGCGGCAACAACATCATGAGATCTGATACTGATACATGCATATTATTTCTTGTATTACCGGATAATAAAATTGGTGAATGTAGTTGTTATTCTTTGAAATTTAAATGTGGGGTTTCAAACGCCCAACTTGCGATTTTTTTCAAATAGTGCGCCGGCAAGGAAAGCTTGTACTATGACGTCAGATTCAATGTTCTGAAGAAAGACAACTCTTTTCTTCAAAACGAACGAGAAAAAACATGAAAATTACTCATAACTTTTTTGAAAGGTCGGTGACATACACTTTTTTTTGCTTTAATTTGAAGAGTACGCATGGCACTTTCCTTCTTGAAATTTTTATGAAGAAATCACTGGTAGATATTTTTTAATACTGGAAACGTTTTTCATTTTTACGTTTTTATTTTGGCGGGAATGAAATAAATCATATTTTTAAAGATCAAAACAATAAGAGTCTTAAACTCTTGAACCTGTATTTGATAGACACAAATCTACTGTTTAACGTGAAACAAGAATTATGCTTTTAGGTTTGATATAAAGGATTTTTTTTTAGAGATAAGATAACAAGCAATTATCATGTTAATATTAGGGAAAACATGAAACTGAGGTTGCTATAGTGACAAAACTAAGTCGGTGACCCCCAATTTTTTTCATCATATTTTGTTCCTCAAATCATAAAATACCTCCACACAAAATTTTAAGGAAAAATCACTGGTAGAACTGAATAGGCTGTTTGGTCTTTAAATAAGTTTTAGATTTATTTAGTATAAAGAGCATCCTGATACAATTTACATGATATAACATCACAACTACATTTCAATACATTAGCAATAGTAAACTGGGGTAATATACCAGCCAGCCTTTAGAGGCTTATGAAGCACTGACAATATTCATACAAGCATAAAACATTTAACTCACTTTCACATGTGTAAAAACAGTTGTAATGGGGAAAAGTCTCCATATCATTAACACTGTATAAGTTTATAATAACTTGCATCAGGAAGATTAATTAAAACGCGTGAAACAACGCCTGGGGAATAAGGTTTGTCGGACTCCTTGAATGTGGATACTTTTTACATTAGGAAGGTTAAAACATTTCCATTTGTCTACATGTGTTGAACAGGTTATTGATTTTATTTGTGATGTATAGAGACAAATTTTACTGTAGGATCTAGTCACAATTAATGTTAAATCTCATTAATTTGTATGCCTTTATAGTTATACATGGATGTTGAAAAGAGATGTGGAAAGATTAGAACAGCTTACCGACAGAGCTAGTGTGTTACCATTAGGAAGGTACTGTAATGATGTGTACTGTATTGTTATAGTGTGTTTTTGCATTATTTACTAACATGGTGTTTATTCTTTGGCCATTGTTATTTTCATTGCAATGTGTATATGGGATGTTTGTTTATGAAAAATTTAGCATTTAATTTCAAAGTTTTTCTGTGTGAAAGCATTATTTTTTTGTTTAAAAGTCATATTATACAATTGGTGCTTTCAACATGCTATTGTACATATTTTAATTGAAGAAAAACAAATACCTAAAAAGAAAAACCCTGTTGAACACCAGTATAAATTAATTGATGTGTTGATGTTCCTTGCAAATTCTGTATAAAGTTAACAAATTCAAAGCTAGATCAGCATGTCTCATTTTGATTTGCTGTAAAAGATATCATTATAGTTCAACTTTTTCTCAAGATTTCCAAAAGTGTTGTTCCTTCAATAGGGGATGATTCCTAAGTATCTTGTATGCTTTTTGTAGGTCTTCTCATCTACCCCATCCCTTTCTTTCAAAAATAATATACATTGTTCATATCAAATGTTTTGTTTGCCTCATCTGAGGGAAACAGTTGGAGTACCTCTGATGTGTATGCACATGTCCTTGTACTTTGTTTTAACCACATGTCAAAAAAAGACTAGAACTATGTATGGATTTGTATATTTCATATTTTTTAACTGTTTTAACTAATGACATTTATATTTCCATAACATTCATCATGTTGTTATATTAAATTACTGTAAATTCAGAAATTAATGTGTACATTTAATAAAGCAAATCACTGATACCTGGTGAAAATGTGAGATCTAGTAAATACGATTGCAAAAATTTTGAAAAGGAATAAGTCACTGCTGAAATTATGAATGCAAGTTTTTATTATTGCGAACCTCATACTGTTGCATTTTTTCGCACAAATTAAAACATTGCACTCATTTCTGAATTTACAGTAATCATGTTATGTTTTTGTATGATTAATCATGTTATGTTTTTGTATGATTAATCATGTTATGTTTTTGTATGATTAACCATGTTATGTATTTGATTGACAAATTGTGTGTTTAATGATGCATATTGTGTTTCTAACAGTGGTGCCTTGGCTGGTAACCCATTTAACATTGACAGGCCATTCCTTGCACAAGGTAACAGTCTTAATGTTTTGCACCAAACTCATCATATTTAAATGTTTATTAACAATTCAAAGCAAACTTGATCAAAGAGCTAGTGTTAAAGTAAAGAGGAAGACCATTTCTATGATCTGTTGTTAATGGTAAGTTGCCTGTCATGCTGTGACAGGCCTGCCAATTTTCCAAATTGATTGTGGAATCCCCTCTGTGAGAGGTATTGAGAAGGTTTGCATACTTGTCTTAAGACTCTTTGTTGGATAAAGTCATAACACTGATCTATTATAATGAGACATATTTACTTCAAAACAGATTCATATCATAATTACATCTTGGTCACCATGATAATATATATATACTGGTAATTACTGCATGCTTGAAAGACTCTTATAACTTTGAAAGTTCTTTTATTTGTGATTCCATTTTTTGTCAGTGATGAAAATGTGATTTTTTTTTTAAATCCATGCTTTCAGACTTTTCACATAAGACAAATCAGTGGAAAATATTAATTTTATTGGGTTTCAAAATAAGTGGTTTTGATTAACCCTAAAATACACAAATATGTCTACCCCATAAAATAAATTGAATTGCAATTTATATTACTTATATGTACAGTTTCTCTTGATCAACTTTCCTTTTGTAAAGTCAAATGACCAATTTAAAGTACTTTGTTATTATTTACAGAACTTAGCTTTAAGGAAGTGTCAGGGAACAGTATGGATGCAGTTAGTGACAGAGACTTTGTTGGTTTGTATTTCCTTAACAAATTACCTAAAGTTGGCCTTATGTTTGATATATTTTTATAAAGGCTTGCAACTCACAGCAATGTCATGGTCAGCTGCATCAACATTTAGGTTCCATTGTCAAACCTTTATGGAATTTTATAAAAATTGAACAGAAGCTTTTTTATGATCAAAAGACAGTAAGTAACCAGAGCAAAATTTTTATAATATATTTTTCATATTTCTGTACCAGTATTTTACTGATAAATGGACTTAGTTTTTTGCATTTGCCATTAAGATACAGTCTAAGGTTAATATTTTACAGGCATCAAAAACTTTGTCAAACCTTCATGGAATTTTACGAAACATGGGTAGAAGCATTTTTCATTACCAAAATATCCAGATCAAAATTTTGAAAATGATTTTTTTTCATTTTTCTATATTTTACTAAAAAAAGGACTGGTTAATATTTTTGCAGTACAAATTTAAATACAGACTAGGGTTGAAGTATTTTAGACATCAATATCATGTCAAAACTTCTTAAAATTTTATTAAACAGTGACAGAAGTTTCTTTTTATGATTTTAAAAGAGAAGCAAAAGATACCAAAGGGACATTTAAACTCACAAGTCCAAAACAAACTAACCAAGCCATGGCAAAAAACCTGAAAAAACAACCAAATGACAAACAACAGTATACAAAACACAGTATACAAAACACACCATAATAACTAAAGACTGAGCAACTTGAACCCCACCAAAAACCAGGGGTAATCTTAGGTATGTGGCACCCAGTGATAGGTCTAAGAGATTATGTCTGTAGCAAAATTTTGAAAATATGTGTTTTTCTTATTTTATTGATAGATTGACTTAGTTTGTCTTAGTTTTTTGCAGTAAACATTTACATAACATCAATAACTTTGTTAAACATTCATGGAATGTTATAAAACTTTGGCAGATGCTTCTTCAAGACCCAGAATTTTTAAAAAATTAATTCCTGTATTTTACTGATTAATTGACTTGTCAGTCAACTGTACATTTTTATACTGACAGTAGCAATGGAAGGCGAGACACTGGGTTCCATCATCCATGGAACGTTTTAGTAATACATTATCTTCAACATTTTTTTAAATATACTACACATTGCATTGTATTATTTCAGCTGAATTTCTATTCTGGGGTTCTTTGTTAAGTGTACACCTCAGTAGATGGGCAGAAGATTTGATACTGTACAGTACTAAAGAGTTTAGTTATGTACAGTTATCAGATGCTTACAGGTAAGCTATTCTGTTTACTGTGCAGATCTGACCTTACTTGTAGAAAATTTCAAAACAACAAAAGCATCTTTTTCATTTTGTCTCCCCTTTGACAATGGCAACATAATGCTTTTCTTCTTCTTCAGCCTTCTCTGGCAAAAACTTATTTATCTTTTGGCATTGAATTATGGTATTTAGCAGTAATGTGTATTACAATAAGGTATTGTGTGGCATATTAACAAGACCTAGAGCTTTGACCTCAAGGTCAAAATAATTTCAATTTTTGTGATCATTTTGTGTTTGGGTCATAACTTATTTATCCTTTAACATAGGCTTTTGATATCTGAAACATCTGTGAATCATCGAAAGACAATATGTCACGTAGCATTGATAATGACCTCTGAATTTGACGTTTGACCTACAGATCCTAGAATTGATTTTTAAGGAAGATTAACATGTCTACTCAAAAACCATATATATTGTTGTTCCCCATGGCAAGACCGTTTCAGTGACTATAAGGGTTTTGGTCTTTTGAGGTCATGCCCCAACCCCCATATAATGAATCTTTAGATATTTCAAAAATGGTTAAGGTCCCTACCCCTATATCATAGGTATATGATTAATTTACATGATGAAAAATTTACAGTGCACCTTAAGTTTTGTTTCTTGGTGTTGTGCCCCACCTCCTTTCATCGTAAATTGTTAAATACATCAACTATTCAGATCCCCACCCATTATATCTGATTTATCTTCTAAACTTGTTTGTTCCAGAATAATTGGACTTTATTGTCAAAATTTCAGAAAATCATAAACACCTGTTCTTCCATGTTTTGCCTCTGAATGCAATGAAATGTGACATAGCTGTTTATCTGTGGTTGTGCATATCTTTTTTGGAAAATAGTTTTGGATTAGTTGTTCTAGTGTTAGTCATGGTTCAATTTGATACATATTTCAAGAAAAACTATACTTACGGTTAAATCATATTAGAACTAAGATTTATAGTAAGTTTTTACAAATATTTCACCAAATTTCAGCACTGGTAGTAGTCTAATGCCCCAGAAGAAGAATGCTGACAGCTTGGAATTAATCCGTGGAAAAGCTGGTCATATGTATGGTAGGGTAAGTAAACTATTGAAAATAACCATGTAGATTGAGAAATTTTGGATATGTAAAATACAATAAGGGTACTTATGAAATAGACATAAACAATTCAAAAACACAATTAATAAAAAAAAACAGATGTATATAGATCAACATACAACAGTCTTCAACCAAAGACCAGTGTCTGTACCATATACTTGAAGGTGAAAATTGACAATTTTATAAAGCAAAACTTGTTCTTTTAGAATGGAATCTAATGGCTTTTCAAAGCTTTTCCTCAGATTATGATTTTAAAAATTTAACAGGAAATTTTTTAACAAACTGTTTTGTATTCCTCTATTTTAAGATAACAGTAAAAATATTAAATTTGAATTCGTTTTCTTCAAATCAGGTTCTGAACTACATGCACTAAATATAAATTTTACTTTACATTTAGCAACTGTTCTCCATTATATTTATGTTATAGATATTTAAGCATTTAGTCGTTTGTAGAGTGTTATAATTTATTACATGCATATGTTATATTAACAGTGTACAGGTTTTATGATGACCTTAAAAGGAGTTCCTAGTACTTACAACAAGGATTTACAGGTAAGAATGAATAAAAAGAGATGTGGGACATATTCGACAGCAACCCAATAACACAAATAACCAAAAGATGTCTAGAAGGCAACATAACAATCCAACAATTGATAGATGTATCTTACAATATGTAAAGATCTGAAATGTCAGGAATCTCTAAAAGTTAATAATTGCACAATTATTTCCAAAGATTTGCTATAAACAGCACATCCTCCACAAAAATATTACAATATATATTAAGCTTATACATGACATAAACTATACCAGTTGCTGATGTTTGCTGAATACAACCTTTTTTATTGAACTATAGTAGTTTTTAGTTTTAGTTTTTTGATTTGTATTTAAGTAGTATCCAACATTTTTTTTTATAATATACATGTACAAATTTCAGCTGGGATTAAGGAGTTTGTCATTTGTGAGTTTAAACTGATGTAAATTGCAAATAGGTTTGGCTTAAACTTGAAAGCACCTGTAACCATAACAGAAATGAGTTATCTCTATTTTCAGGAGGATAAGGAAGCCATGTTTGATGTGTATGATACTTTAACAGGAATACTTCAAGTAGCTACAGGTGTCATGTCAACATTAATGGTAATATTCTTCTATATATTTGATTATTAGCAGAGCTGTTCTTTTAAAACATACATGGTACCCAGGGAAGGCACTTAGAAAGTGGGATAACAAATTTATATTTATAATTTAACAGCATTTAGTATTCAATGAAACTTTATACTGCTTACTATCATATTATATTTGTAATTGTAAAAAATATCAAAAATATACTAAATTTGCAACCATGGCTCCCCATAAAATATTGGTGGGTTTATATACATCAATCAGATGTCATTAAGCTACATGTACTAAGAAAAACCAAAAGAGGCAAACCTATTGAACAGCAACATGCTAAATACAAATTATTTTTGTATGTAATCTTCTTTTCTGTGTTCATGAGAAAACTAAAGCATGGAATGGGATTTATAGAAATTTATGTCAAAGTTATAAAACTTTTAGAATCATCAAAGATCAAATATTTTGGAAGGAGTTATGTCCCTTGGAAATGTAAATGATATAAAAGATCAACTTTGTAAGCCCTCTTGCACACATATTTCTCAAAGAATGAAATTACGGTGGATTCATTATTATTTGTTGGATACCAATTTTGATGGATTTGGTGGGTAATGGGACACCACGAATTTAAATGTTCCAGTAACAAACTTCCAAATGAATATATGCAGACTTTGGTAAATCCACGAAATCAAACATCCACAAAAATTTAAGTTTTCCTCAATCCACAAAAATTGGTACCCACAAAAACAAATGACATCACAGTACTGTGAAAGGTTTACATCAGCAATGTCTCAGACCAATTTGAAAACAGCATTGGTCTTGTATTTTTATGGTTGTTTTTGCCTTTTGTAAATATATGTGATATGGAAATCTTAGGACATTGGGTACTTTTTCGCTCTCTTGTTCCTACAGAAATACTATTGGTTTAGAAATTAATTATTGATAAGAAAAATATGCATCCTTGTTAATTTCTTAACATATTTTAGAGAAAGTTTATTGTATATTTAATTTTGACATGAAACAATTGATTTGGTATATAGTGAATTACATGTCCCAGAAAGTACTGTGTACCATTCCAGCAAATATATAATACTGTTTTCTTATAGATAGACAAAGAAAAAATGAAGGCAGCATTGAGTCCTGATATGTTGGCTACAGATATAGCTTATTATCTTGTCAGAAAAGGGGTAAGTTTATCACTCGTTTGAAACCTCATAAATTTGAAAAGGGTTGGTTCAATGGTTTCTCAGGTTATTGCATGGATATGACATAAAAGCATATTTATCAATCAATTTGCAATCAACCCTAAGCACAAATTTTACTTTTTATTAGCTTTGGCACCTGGTATTTATGATACATTTATTTTAATTTTCATCAATATAAGTTACTTCAGTATTTACCCAGATGTCTATATCAGAGGTTATCATGATCAATAATATATCAGATTTAATTTGCATTGAAGTGGAAATGGCTTACATTATTTGCAAGTGCCATCAGATTTAATATGTTTCGAATAAAATATTATTTGATTGATAATTTTTAGATACCATTTAGAGAAGCTCATGGACAATCTGGATCATGTGTGGCATTAGCTGAGAAAAAACAATGTCTGCTGTCTGAATTAACTCTTGAAGATTTTAAAACTGTCAGGTACATCTATTTATTACTATTATAATATATAACTATATATATGTATTACTATTACTGTAAATTCAGAAATTATTGTGTGCATTTATTATTGCAATTATTGAAGAATAGACAAAAATGTGAGATTAATTATTGTGATTTCAAGAAAATCTGTATACAGATATATGAACTGTGGATTCATTATTATTCATGGATACCAATTTTCGTGGATTTCGTGGGTACAAGTAAACCACGAAATTAAATGTTCAACGAATGACATATTTTGTATAGGCTTGTATGCAGACTTTCGGTAAAACCACGAAATTAAATATCCACGAACATGCCAAATTTCCCTAATCCACGAAAATTGGTACCCACGAAAATAAATGAATCCACAGTATCAGATATCAGAATGTGAGTTCTTATTGTTGCAGTACTTACCCATTAGCATTATTAGCAATTATAAAACCTCCCAAACAGTCCTGAATTCACAGTAATAAGTTTGTGTATTATGATTATACATGCTTTCTTCTTGTCACGTATATTATACTGTGGTTTGTTTGTTTTAGTCACAAATTATGTAAATTATGTAAGTTGATTTATATGACAATACACTTTGACTTTTAATTTGAATATATTTATAGAAAGAAACAAAGTATGAATAACCAATAAATTGAAATTCAGTATCCATGTGCACATGTACAATTATTCCATTAAAAGTAAAAGTAAGAATACAGGCAGGTTATTTTAAAGATGCTTCTATTTGACAACTTTTATTTGACTGTCTGACCTATCTATGGGTGATCTTTTTGATTTCTTGTGGCTTTTCATTGTAAAGTTTATTTTTTTTAAGACTTTTATCATTTTTAACCGGATTTTCGAAGGAAATATCGGTTATTAAAATGGTGATATACGGCGGGCGACTGGGCTGTTCTAAGGGCAGCTGGGCTGTTCTAATGGCGGCTGCCAAACAGTGTCAGCACAATAACATGAAAACGCTTTCACAACTTTTTTTCAAATTTAAATATGTTGTTTCCTGGGACTTAATGAAGGTCTCTATTAATTTTTATTATTTCAGTGAGAAATTTGAGGATGATATACTAGAAGTGTGGAACTATGAAAACAGTGTGGATCAGTATTCTGTTTATGGTGGAACTGGACGGAGAAGTGTTCTACAACAAATCAATAATATACAACAGTTCCTGAAAGAGAATGCAATGTAGAACTGGTTAGAACATTAATATTCATCATGAAGACAAAGGAATGATAGATATGGAATTAGTGCTTAATGGATTTAAAAAAAACATCACAAAAATAGAAATGCATTAAAAATAGCATGAGTCATACTGTTAATTTTGTAATAATTTATGATTGATAATCTTTTTATTACACTTCTGTAAAATGAAACGTGTGTACTCATGGTTTTTTTATGCATATTTTTAGGACTTGATTGAAAGAAAGTCACCATGAAAAATTTTGATGTGCTGCTTAAATTTTATTCCAGACTTTTCAAATTATATATTCTAGAGCTTATTTGTTGTGTATTAGTTTTGAAGTTTAAAAAATGATCTGTTAAACATTTATGTTTTGCTTTAGCTGTATGTATTAATAAATATTTTATATTTTCAATAATCCCTTATTCCCTTGTTTTAAAATTCTATTTTTGATTAGAATAATGTTACTCTTAGAAATATATATAAGCTGACTAGCAGGAAATTTTAGAGTCCCATTTTGTTGTTCAGAGACATAAATTTTACCTTGAAACAGAAACAGGTCACCTAAAAACCCTCATAGAAGATTTCTTAACCATACTGAGAGCATAACACTCTTCCAACAAGGTCATCAGATTTAACATCTCACATTATTTTTACAATACAGAAACTACTAATTCAAATACAGCAGAGCTGTACTTTTTCAGATATTACTTTGCACATACAAGTTTAGTTTGCTTGTGTTTAAGATGTGCCATGAAATCCTATTGTAAATATAGAAACAAACTGATTCTGACATCGGACTCAGGTTTCTTTTGAACTGAGTTTTACTGTGTGTATTGCTGTGTGTTTCTTTATTCTACATTGGCTAGAGGTATAGGGGGAGGGTTGAGATCTAACAAAACATGTTTAACTCTGCCGCATTTTTGCGCCTGTCCCTAGTCAGGAGCCTCTGGCCTTTGTTAGTCTTGTATGTTTTTTTAATTTTAGTTCATTTATATACTTTGGAGTTTAGTATGACGTCCATTTTCACTGATTTAGTACACATTTTTATTTAGGGGCCAGCTGAGGACTACCTACGGGTGCGGGATTTTCTCGCTGTGTTGAAGACCCATTGGTGGCCTTTGGCTGTTATCTGCTCTTTGGCCGGGTTGTTATCTCTTTGACATATTCCCCATTTCTGATCCAATTGTTATTTTTCAGTAATCCCTTTGTTGCCTGTATCATGATTTTAATAACTCTTTTATAAAGATGTAAGCTAAGGTAATACTGTAAAGTTTAATTTTCATGATTTCGTTTCACATTTTTTCTCATCCCTGATTCTGATCTTCCTTAAAGATTAAATTAAGGTGAAAGGATATTTGTTTGCGATTATTTTCTTTAAAGTCAATTTAGGATCAAAATTTGTATTATTGCCTTTTAAAGAACAACAGGAAAGTGTTAGAAGGACCAAAAGATATTCATTTCAACAATTCTTGTGAAGAAATCTGCTTAATCGCAAAAATAAACCCCTTGTGAAAACTTCCCATTTTACAGTATTTGTTTTATTGTCATCCTAAGGGTCAATTAAACTTTATTTCATTGTTCTTTGTACACCCTCATATGGTAATTAAAACAAAAACAGGTTAAGAAAATATCAAATGGTGCCATTATTTGAGTTTCTCTTTTAAATATTACCGTTAACAGAACAGTAATATCTTTGTATTTCTGTTTTGTTTGATTTTTTTTTTTGTGAATTGTTATTGAACTAATACTGTGATAATTTTAGTTGTTTATTTTAAACATTAAATTAAGATTATTATTATTGTTGAAAGTTTTGTGAAAGCATTCTATTTATTTAAAGATGTGTGATATTTTGATGATTTTCCATTTTTTGCTTAATGTTTTCTTTTTATGCCCCCGCCATAGCAGAGGGGGCATTAAATTTTACCCTTGTCCCTCTATACGTCCGTCCGCACGTCCAAAAATTGGTTTCCTTTCTTTAACTTTAGTTTAGCCTCAACCAAATGTTATGAAACTTATATATACACAATGCTTATTACCACAAAACACAGATCAACTTTGAATTTAGGTGGCGTCACTTTTACCTTTCTAGAGTTTTGCCCCTTTACAAATGGAAAAATTGCTGAATTTTTCGTTTCCATTCTCTAACTTAAGTTTGTCTCAACTAAATGTTATGAAACTTATACACAATGCTTATTACTACAAAATTCAGATCCAGTACAAATTTGGGTAGTGTCACTTTTACCATTCATAAGTTATGTCCGTTTATAACATTATATGCAAGCAGGGGCATCATCTGTGTCCCATTGACACATTCCCCATTTATTTTGTTATAATATAAGGCAAAATGTGTTTCATTATAGTCTTTGTTGGTGTGAGAAAAAAAGTTTGCCTTTTTCTTTCCTCTGTTTTTTATTTTACGAAAGATATATTTTTGCTTGTATATTTTCTTTGTTACATGTATTGTAACAATTATTTTTCAGTGTTTTATTTTTTTTTTGTTATTGCAATTTTTGTGCTTTTTGCTAATTTTTCTTTTTCATTTAATAAAAAAATATTCAATACTAATGACTTTTACTATAGGTTCTTTTATGGTTTATTGACGAGCCTGTAACTTTTGTCGCAGAAAGCTCGACATAGGGATAGTGATCCGGCTGCGGCGTTGGCGGCGTTGGCGGCGTTAGCTAACTTCTTAAAAGCTTTATATTTTAGAAGGTGGAAGGTCTGGATGCTTCATACTTTGTATATGGATGCCTCATGTTACGAAGTTTCCGTCAGTCACATGTCCAATGTCCTTGACCTCATTTTCATGGTTCAGTGACTACTTGAAAAAAAAGTTAACATTTTTTGTAATGTTAAATTCTCTCTTATTATAATTAATAGGATAACTATATTTGATATGTGCGTACCTTGCAAGGTCCTCATGCCCGTCGGACAGTTTTCACTTGACCTTGACCTCATTTCATAGATCAGTGAACAAGGTTAAGTTTTGGTGGTCAAGTCCATATCTCAGATACTATAAGCAATAGGTCTAGTATATTCGTTGTATGGAAGGACTGTATGGTGTACATGTCCAACTGGCAGGTGTCATCTGATCGTGACCTCATTTTCATGGTTCAGTGGTTATAGTTAAGTTTTTGTGTTTTGGTCTGTTTTTCTTATACTGTATGCAATAGGTCTACTATATTTGGTGTATGGAATGATTGTAAGGTGTACATGTCTAGCTGGCAGGTGTCATCTGACCTTGATCTCATTTTCATGGTTCAGTGGTCAAAGTTAAGTTTTTGAGTTTTGGTCTTTTTTTTCTAATACTATATGCAATAGTTCAACTATATTTGGTGTATGGAAATATTTTATGATCTATTTGTCAGACACACAGGTTTTTTTTACCTTGACCTCATTTTCAAGGTTCATTGCTCAGTGTTAAGTTTTTGTGTTTTGGTCTTTTTTTCTTAAACTATAAGCAATAGGTCAACTATATTTGTTGTATGGCAGAATTGTTAGCTGTACATGCCTGCCTAGCATGGTTCATCTGACCTTGACCTCATTTTCATGGTTCATTGGTCAATGTTTAGTTTACTTGGTTAATGTTAAGTTTATGTGACAGTTGTAATAAAGCTTTATATTTAGGACTATCAACATAATATCAATGATTAGTAAAGAAGGCGAGACATTTCAGCGTGTTCTCTCTTGTGTTATTATATCCTATGTCTAGGAGGGGGTTTTTGCATTCACCTTGTCTCTCTGTTTGTCCAACAAATATTTTCATTACACTATTTCAGAAACTGAACAAAATGACTCCATATTTGGTATTAGCTTGAAAATTTTTTTAATACGTTTTGAATTTTCAAATATTTGGCCTTGAGCATCACTGAAGAGATATCTATTATCGAAATGTGCATCTGGTGCAGTAAAATAGGTAAAGTAATGTTATTGACTGCAATAAGTTGTAATATTTGAGCACTTTTCAGATTTATCAGGGACTTACTTCCTGTTTGCTAATACTTTGAATTTTTCAATATATTGAATGAAACATTTGCTTCACACATTTCTCCAGTACTACAGAAAAGAATGACTTCATATTAGGAAAGCAGCTTGAGGAGTAATACCACCATTGTTTTATTAGTCTTTGTTAAATTGGCTTTTTTCAAAAAATTGTGCAGAATTTTTTCTTTGTTTCAAATAAAGAAATATATGGCATGAATAAATTTATATCCTGTCCAGCACTACAGACAAAATTTCACATAACATTTCATTGCATATAAGATAATAACCATCATTGGAAGTTAACCAATCAAATTTTCACCCCTTTTTTCCTGTTTACAAGCTCAGTAACCATGTAACTTCAAGTTTCCAAAATATTTTATAGAAACACCAAATATAAAGAGAGTGGTGCTTTGAATCAGTCCCAAGATATATGTTTGCGACTCAAATTTTTTCTGTATATTTCCTACAACTGTCAAATTCAAGGGAATATTTTTTCCCACCTTTTTTCGTATGAAACCAGATGTGATGTACCATGTTTTGGTGGTATTACACCTTGACAGTAATGAGTTGTAAAATTGAAGCTGTTTTAAGCTCACCTGGTCTTGAGGGCCATGCATGCTTTAGCCATCACTTTGTGTCTGTCTTCCATTCATCCATCTTCCACAAACCTTTCTTTAAAAATCTTTTCTTCTTAAAATTTTCATTAATTAAAAATTATAATTTTAAAAATGATCAGCATGACAAGATCTATGATCTCTGAAAGTTTCAGAAAATCTGACAACCACTTTTGGAGTTGTTCCTGAAATGTTGATTTCAATTGTGTTTTGCAGTTTTGGCTGTTATCTCAAAACTTAAGGATCTACTTGAAGGTTAATACACTGTAAATTGCAAAAAATGTCCACAACACAAAGAATAACCAGTATATGCATATAAAGGTCTCATTAGTAGACTGCCACTTCTGCACCAGGTGAGTAATATAGTTACATTTTTGCGCCTGTCCCAAGTCAGGAGCCTCTGG